GAACTTCTTTCCTTTGTTGTGCATCACTTGCTCAACGATCCCATCCTTGTTCAGATATAACCTTCCTTCTTTTTGCATATAGTACTGTCTCAAGACTCGGCAACTATCTTCTTCCAGATCTCCTTTGTCTGGTGCTCCATTTTTGATCCACCTTTTCAAGGTAGTTGTCATGCAGTCATTTCTCTGCACTCTTAGTAAGTCTGAAAGACCGTAACTCGGATAGGGCTCGGTTGTCCACAAGCATCGCAGAGGGAGCACTCGCTAAGTAGGCGCGGCACTTCTCCAGGAACGTGACTACAGCAATCATTTCTGCTTTTGGTGCACTTTGAGAATATAAAGCGGGAATTGTGCGAGGCGCCAGGTAGACTTTATCTGCGTATCCTTATCTGCGCCAGGTAGACAATCGGGTAGACTTTATCTGCGTATCCTGTTATGAACTCTCCATATCAATTCGCAATTGCTAGGAAGTTCATAAGCTGAGTGTTCGTTCTGGGGGCCTTCCATGTTCACACGGCTTCAACTGGACCCGGATCCGGCCTCACACTATGCCCGTCTACCATTCTTACCCGATATTTTATTGAGTCCCTAAGGATCTGATTTAGAGGGCTCGCATTTGAAGCCAGCTCTCTGCATGCAGTCAAAGGCTTCAACGAGTCTGTCAATGTGGTCTGACAAGCCGGATGTCGCTTTCACTACGTCATCCACGTAGCACATCACGAGAATCCCACACATCTTCGTCATACTAATCAAAGCCTGAGCCATCTCTCTTTAAAAGATCGCCGTCGCATTGCACAAGACGAAAAGCATCCTCTTCCACTGACACAAGCCTAACTCACAAGCAAATCCTGTCTTTTCTCTGTCTTTTTCGCAGGGTGACCTGCCAGAAGGCAGTACCCAGTCCGGTGTGTTGAAAAATTTGGCATCGCCAAGTTTCGAGAGGCTCTCGTGTATGCGTGGTATTGAGTAGGCGTCCTTTATGGTCACCTCCCTCAGGAAGTATGGGTCGCAACGGAATCCTAGCTGTATGCAACAGTCGCTCAATCCTTATTTTCCTGAATGCTCTCGGATCTTCACACTGGTTTTTCTAATTTTTTTTCTGTTTAATTCAGCGTTTTGTCTGTTTTTCATCAGCTAAAACCGTTATGATTTTCGCGCTTTTTCTGTATTCGCAAAAATCAAAATGGGCTCGTGTTTTTACAAACGAAGTTTTGAAATTTCCCATGTCAGTCAGAGGCGTCCACTCTCAATTTGTTCAATTGGACAATTAACACAGTTAATTCTTTGAAAAAGCCAATTCACCCAATAAACTGCTCCAAATAAAAACCCGTTTTGCCATGCATTTTAGGCGCCATTCTGGTCAAATGTCTTATTTTCAAGCGGCTTTCGACACGGTGAATTTATGAAGGGCGAGTGTATTTTTTTTGGTTACCATGATAATTTCTGTGGAAAGAAGAAAAAGCGACAGGCAAAAAATGACAAGTATGAAAACTTAATAGTTGATGGATATCTTTTTCAACCACTATCTGTTGAGATTCAAAAAACGGCCGGCCTTAGCACTCAAACTTTTGTGATTAAGCGTTGTAAGAACCTAAGCATATGTACTGAGGAACCTAGGGCATGCAGTTTTTTAAAACAGTGAATCTCCCTGGCAATAGAGAGAGGGTTTTTGCATTCATCGCTTAACGGTCGAGCTGGCTTTCTGCACCGGGTTGCAATGTCAACAGTTGCATATAAAAGTCCAGGAACATAAGTTGACTTCAGAATGATCTTTGTAGAAGATAAAAAAAATTGAATTAAGAAGTAGAAGTAATTCAAGTATAATTTGGTTAGGTATGCTTTGTCAATTTGTTCGAGGTTGATATTACCTTTTTCTGTACTATATTCAATAATTGACTGGTTCTTTTCCAAAAGTTTTTGTCAGCCTTTCTTGCTCGAGTTTTTGTTATCGATGTTAGATCTTTTTGTCTTGTTGATAAAAGATCGTCCTTGGGTATTGTATTCGTCTTTATTGGTAGTTTGATGTTGTAGCTACCTTTCAACATTGATACTAGCAATAACAGGTCATGTAATTCAAAGTTATACGATAAAGGAAGCAGTCTCAATTCAGTTAGTTTTTGCTTGTAGCCCTTATCCCAATCACCCATTATCCAAAGAGTTGCTTTCCTTTGGACACGTTCAATTTAGGTTGCGTACGTAATCGGCACAAAACTGACAAAATAACTTTCGACTAAAATTTTCATGTTGAATGCAATATAGTTATATATGCTATTCTGGTTTCGAGTTGCGTATTCTTATTGAAGAAAAGTAACCCGTTAGCAATGTGTGGTTCATGGCCGGAGAAGACTGGTATATCCAGAGAGACGGTGTAGCGATGGGTGCTGCCATGTCTGTCATACTTGCAAACGTCTGGATGAAAACATTCGAACCAGCTCTGTCATCAGAGATGCCGGAACCACCGAAAAAACCTGACAACTGTTGTGGCAAGTGCGGCGTAAAAGTTACTTTCCGCGGTTACTCAATCAGATGTAAAGTTTGCTGCAAGTCGTTTTATCGTAAATGTACCCCATTCACCGTGGGAGAGCTCAAGCGAATGACTACTTCCAGTTGGTTCTTTGGATGCACTGTAGACGAACCTCGAAAAGCTCGAGTGTTTAGTTGGTATATGGATGACATACTGCGAAGTGCAAAGCCAGAGAACATCACTGGAATCTTAGAGAGAGTTAATAAACTTCGTCAAAACCTAGAGTTCACTATTGAACGTCAGCAAACTGGAAGTCTTCCATTTCTTGACTTGAGCGTGAAACAGACCGGCGCTGATGTTGACACAACCTGGTACAGAAAACCAACTGATACAGGGTTGACTCTCTCTTTTAGAGCTCTTGCACCGATGAGATACAAGAAGAACATTGAGCAAGGAACTGTGCATCGTGTGTTTAATGCCTCGTCCAACTGGCATGCTTTCACGGAAAGCATAACTGAGGTTGGATGTATGCTGGAGAAAAACCAAAATCCACCTCAATTTTTTGAACCCATCATCCGTGAGACTCTTAACTAGATCATTGAGAAACACATGAAACAAGACACAAATACCAAGACAACAGAAAAAGCGACCAAGAAACGGATACCCTTTGTTATTCAATATAGGGGCAACAAATGTGACGTTTTCTCCAAGCGTCTCCGAAAAACAGCCAATATTTCTGTCATCTTCACAACTAGACAGATGAAGACAGCCTTACCATCGCTGAAACCAAAAATACCAGAAAATGTCCGTGGCAACGTGGGTCACGAAACCACTTGTTCTAGATGCCAGTCTAGTTACGTCGGGCAAACAACCCGCCACCTAGCCACGAGAGTGCACGAACATTCCAAAGGTACTAGCCCAGTAGGAGAACACCTCAATTGGCGTGGTGTTACCATTGACAGCTGCGAAGGAAAGATCATTGACACAGCAAGAGACTCCGCTAAACTTTTAACCTTGGAAGCATTGCATATCAACAAGAGAAAGCCTTCAATCAACCGGAAGGAAGAGTACAAGGCTCGCGAGTTGATCCTGAAGCTGTAACATTGTTACCTTGTCCCACATTCCAGTGGCTTGTTCCAATCAAACTTGTTTATCACAGTTCTATCTGTTTTTAATTGCTTTCCAGTTTTCCTATTTTTAGGGTGGTTTAGGGTGGTTACACACACATAAGACACAACGAAATTAGAGACACGTTCGCCAACCTCATGAACGAGGTTTGCCATGACGTCGAGATTGAGCCGAAACTTCAGCCGTTGCAAGGCGAAAGATTTGTCAACAATTCAACTACAACTGAAGATGAGGCACGACTTAAATTTAAGGCAAACGGACTCTGGGGTTCACGATTCAGCCGCGCTTTCTTTGATCTGAAAATTTTCAACCACCATGTCAAAACATCGCGAAAACTGCATAAGGATGCATACAAATACCACGAAACGCTGAATAACTCCAAATATCAGCAAAGAATTTTAAACTTAGAGCAGAGTAGCTTCTGCCCGCTAATTTTTGGATGCACCGGTGGCGCTGCTCCAACAGCCACGCGGACGCTGCAGCGATTAGCCGAAAAACTAAGTGAAAAAGACAAGAAAGCTATCCAGAATCTATAAACTACATAAGAACTAAAATGAGCTTCGCGCTCCTGAGGAGCTCTATAATTTGTATAAGGGGGTGCAGATCGCTACGCAAAGTTCAATTTATCGACAACTTCATAAGCGCTTTTGTAGAGGAAGGACGGTTAAGATAAATTAACATTACGACGAAATAATTAATGCTGATTTATGACTTCATTGCTGATATATATGCATTTTTATTTCGCTGGTATGGCCCTATCCAGCTTATGCACTTACCGTAACTAAACGGAAGGGCCCCTTTTGTAATTTAGTTTTTTTTAATGTGCTTTTAATTTGTACAATTTTGCTATTTTTGCAGTTACTGGTGATGACATAATGTCGAAAATGTTTTACCATGGATGTTTTTTCCCTGAGATCGTAACCCGGATTGAATTTAATTTTCAAACACATCAACGCTAATCATCTCCATTTTTATCATCTCCTTTTTTATCATTATCACTTGCATGGATATCTTTTTCAGCCGCTAGCTGTTGAAAATCTAGAAGTCTTCCATATCTAGAAAATTCCAAGGATTTTGTCTGGAATATGCGATGAAGGCACTACTGACTCTAACCTCGCTCACTATGATACTTTTGACCTTCTGATTATCCCTATTTTTGTCCTGTATGGTGAAAGATCGCTGAGAATAGCTGTGCCAAAACTTTGGAAAAACCTTCCTGCTGTTCGGAAAAACATTTTTTTGCATTCCATTTTCAGGAAGAACTTGAAAACTTATTAATTTAATGAGTCTTTTCCTCCAACTTAAATTACACTGCACTTTTTTGCACTCTGTGTAAAAGGTGCTTAAACACTAATAATAATAAGTATTATTAAATGTTAAAAAAAACTTCGTAAAATAATTGGTCTTTATTGTTTTCACTGATTTTTGGGTTAATAAGTTTTCAGCTAGAAGCATAGCATGCAAGCTCTAAATGGCAAGCCAGACGTACATGAGATATCGTCAGACGAAGAAGAGTTTGCGCAATGGGTACAGTGTATAAGCTGCAAAAAATGGCGAGATCTGCTGGATTCTGAGTGTATTTACAAAGTTAATAGATCCACTTGGACTTGCTGTTCTCGTTGTCAATTTGATTGCGATGTCCCTGAGTTCAAAAATAAATGGTGGAATTCAAGGTGCACTTATCAAGATTACCAACCGGGAGACTTGGTTGCCGTAAAACTTGACGGTTGGCAATTTAGTTGATCAGTTTAGTATTTTTATACCCGTCGTTAATAACCTTCTATAAATAAGTGCATTTTGCATAGGTTTTCCATGGTGGCCATGTATCGTGGACCCTAATCCCGTTGATAATTTATATTTCCATATTACACCAAGACCGGCTGTAAAGAGATTTGTGACCAGCTATCATGTAACGTTTTTAATCAATCCAGTGCAAAGAACTTGGTGTATCGAAAGTCAAGTGATGAAATGTTCTGAATGTGTCAGGCTACATCTACCTAGGGACGAGCGGTTAGAAGTTATTTCAATGATAGTCGAAATGCTTTTCAAACCATTGAAATTTAGAGTGAATCTGTTGAAATAGGGCAAACCAACAAAGTGTATTTTCAATGTACACACAGGCTTTGAAAATGACCAAAGATGAGAGATTGGAAAACTTTGGATTTCTGAAGCGATGCTCTGCGGCGTTGGCAAGACAAATGGCACGCGAAAAGAAAATTTTTGACAGTGCTTTCACTTCGCGAGAAGGTTTTGTTTCATCTATCTGTAGTTTCTATCGGTTGTTTTTTGTTGTGCTTTATCGTTTTTTCATCTGTTTGTTAAACGCTGGATTCAAATTTTTACGCGGTTAGCCGTTTGATTTTTATAGTTAGGAATCGTTAAATATAGCCGTTTGATTTTTATAGTTAGGAATCTTTAGGAATCGTTAAATATAAACAGAAGCTAACCGATTGAGACCAGTTGTCTGTTATTTTCCTTTAGTTTGCTCTCGTGCTTCCAGCGTTGACAACAGTCGAGCTGATGATTCCGCTAGTGTTGCTTCAAGATCATCAAGGAAAATCCATGATCCCTCATTTCATTCTCAAGTATCTGGAAGTTCCCAAAGTAGAATTGCCTTTATCGAGGATTCATCAGATGATGATAATGAGAAAGATAGTGACATTGAAGAAATATCATCTCAAGCTTCCTCCGGTAGTTTGAGCATGAACGGAAAACACCTATCTAAGGTGAGGGTCAGAAAGGAAATATTGAGATCAAGTACCCCGAGAGCAGAGAACAGAAAGAAATCTAAACCAGAAGAAAAAAAGACGAATCAAGACATGAACAGAAAAGGGAGTCATTCCAAAGTTGATGGTAAATGTATTGATGTCTCAGTTTACCTCTATTTTCGCGATAGTTGAGCTTTTTTGGGAAGAAAGCATAAAATTTTTTTATCGTTTCATAGACAAACCTTTTTCGTCCGTTGCCCAATTGGAACTGGTGGTAGATTCAGTCGTGAAAAGAAATTTGACAAATGAACTGGAAGTTACTTCTGACGTGGTGGAGCTACAGGAGAGTAATGAAATTGACTATCCGGAAGATTCCGAAGCTTTGAAAGATTCCGTATTGGTTCCACAAACAGAGACTACAAGTAAATATTAATTTTGACACCAAAACTAGAAAGATTTTCTCATAGGGTTCCTTGATAAAGGCGTATATATTTGCTTAAGCATCCGTTGAAGTGGAAATAATGGCTGAGATCATCAGCTGTTCTGAAACTGAAATTGAAGTCAAGAGTTCCGAATCCAAGAAAAACGAGTCTGGCGGCATATTTTCAAGTTTTAATTCTCAAGAGAAGGCGCAACCTACTAGAGCTGAGCGCGGAAAAAGGGAAACCATTACTCAAGAGTTGAATCAAAACGTGATAAACGAAAAAGATGAAGGTATTGCTTTTTAGTAGGCTTATTTATCGAAGTTAAGAAAGAACTTGAAACCTTATTTGATGGTTTTATCTTATGCGCGTTTTGTAAATGTCTGTTCTAAATGCATTTTTGAGCAAGTGAAATTCGCATGTGTTTTTGTGTTAAAGAAACTGCAAAAATCTTAGCCGCGGATACGAAAGATTCAACAATGCAATCAAAGACTCTCGAAGGAAATAACTCAGATTGGGACGCTATAGCCGATTCGCTTCAGTCCGAAAAGTCAAATTATGAATTGCTATTTGAAGAGAAAGCGTCAAAAGGTGAGATCGTTTTGGATCACAATAAAGAAAGCCAAAATGAGGAACAGCGCAAAACGGGAAACAAAGAGACTGATGTATTCAAACGTAGCGTTGTTAAGAACGGCCCTGAAATTGTTAAAAGTTTCAGCGAAGCGGAAGCAGATAAGAAAATTATTCCAAAGTTGACTGGAAAGACCCAGAAATGGAATTTGAAAGCTCAAATAAAACCAGATGTAGCGTCGATGCTTCCTAGTTTGCAGAAGGAAACATCGTCGAATAAAATAAATCAACTTCAAATTGAATCTGACTCGAAGATATCAACTCAAAAAAAGAAAAGCTTCGATGAAATTGTTGAGGAGCCAATTGTCACGTCAAAAGCAACTCCTGTAGGTTTCTCGAATTCAGTTAAGCGAAAGTCCAATGATTCATTGGATTATCAAAGCGAATCTTCTGTTAATCGCAGTCAGAGAGCTTTTAAGAAACCTGCTTTCAAAGTACCAAGATTCACTAAACCGTCGAAAAGTCAGCCAATTGAAGATTCAAGTGCCCTCAAAGCGATAGACTCACAGTTTGATAAAAACGCACAAAGTCTGCCAATTGTCTTCAAATCTGCCAATGCTACCAATGACGTTCAAAGTCAAGGGTCGAATAAAAGTTCATGTACAGAAGTCAAGAAGACCGAGATGAAAAATCCCATTAAAGAGACGCTGACTTCTTTCTCCACAGCCTCTGACGCTGTCTTCAAAGAGCGGAAAGACTCAAGTTTTATTAATACAAATGGCGCTGGTCATAAAAGCGATGCTATTGCTCATACGGAAACGGAAGTTCAGAATGTAAAGAGAGATGAGCCACTTCCCCATTTAGAAATCAAAACTACCGAAGAGTTGGTCTCATCACTAGATGATCTTCTCAGCCAGTCTCAAGAGATCCTCGCCAGGGTGTCGAGTAGCCAGAGCCAAGGGTCGAAATGTGAATTAAGTGTGCATGAATCTGCCCCAAAATGTAAATTTTATTCGCTTCTGCTTATTGTATTGTTTTCTCGAAAAAGACCTTGCAATTTTCAGGCTCAAGGAGTTTCTAAATGGGCATAAAATTGTAAGGTTTTTTCCGACCATTGAAAATGGAGAGGAACTTTGTATTTATTGTAAACTTTGTTTTATTTTTTTTTCACGCAAAAGCAGGTACCACAATAAATCATCGGAGTGGGTTGAGTGATCTGCCATATTAAAGCCCTTTGAGTCTTGATTCGAACGAGGTTGAAACATTTCAAAATAAACATTCTGTGTCGAGAAAAACCCGTTTAAATTTTTTGATTTTTGGTTTAATTTCGAGCGAATAAGATGACCATCCAGGCTTCGATAGCTTATTTATGATCAATTTTTAAAATTTTTAAAAGATTTTTAAAATTTTCTCTTAAATTTTTTTTGTTTTGCTATTAATTTTTCTAAAAAACTTTTTTTACAATTGGCCTTTTAACTATGACAGTCGAATAAGACTAAGTTATTTTTTTCCGTTTAGCTTTTTTTATCGCACCACGCAGAAAAAACGTTACTAATTTGAAAAAAAAAATGTATTTTTTAAGACTGTTGTCGGAACCTTCTGAGCTACTTGCACAGCCACCGGTTGTCCGTGTCTTTTTTTATCTTTTAATTGCCCTCTATTTTTCAACCTTCTTTTTAATATGATTCGCCAATTCGTTTTTGAGCGCTACAGAATCAAGGTTTCTCAAATGTGCATGGGTCCACATTAATGTCAAAGTTTTTGTTCCGACCATTGAAAATGGAGAGGAACTTTGTATTCGGGTGTGTTTTAGTTTTTGTTTTGTTTTCCACGCAAAACCAGGTACTATAAATAATGATCGGACTGGGTTGAGTGATATATTATATTTGAGTCCTTTCAGTCGTGATTTGAACCACATTAAAAAATTTCCAAAAAGTTTTCGCAGTGTCGAGAAAAACTCGTTTGAAATTTTTGATTTTTCGTCTAATTTCGATCGAGTGAGCAGGCTTACATTGGCTTATTTATGCTTAATTTAAGCTTTCAAAATTTAGTTTTGCCCTAATGAAGTTAGTTTTAGGAGTTTTTAGCTTCATCTTGGGAATCAAAGACTTCAAAAATTTGGGAAATTTTTATTTGTCTTTAGTAATTGTGTTCCAATTTGCATATTTTACATTACTGACGAAAATGCTTAAGCTCTACTTTTCGCTCAGATTCCTTTATCGCACCAAGCCGAAAAAACGACACTAATTGGAAAAATAATTTTGTTGTAAATTTTTAAGACTGGTCGGAACATTCTGTGCTTCTTGCACAGTAACCGGCTATCCTTGTCTATATCTTGTTTTTGGCCATCTGTTTTTTCAACTTTCTTATTACGAATCGCCAAAACTTTTTTTGACAAAATACTTCTTTACATCAAATAAGGGTGATATATTACATTAGGTGGCAAGTTTGAGAATTATTTGAGTAAAGCATATATTAAACTTGACAACTCTATTGCCTAATATAGTCTTTTCATTTTCAGTCGGTTTTACGTGCTGCTAAAATAGATTTTGTAAATACATTTTTCTGCCAGATAAATTGTTATTCAAAAATTTAATTTAACACTGCTTTTTCCAACAAACTTGGCTTTGAAGTAAGTTTTAAATACTGAAAAATTAGTTTTACCCTGATGAAGTAAGTTTTAGGAGTTTTTAGCTTCATCTTGGGAATCAAAGACTCCAAAAATTTGGGAAAGTTTTAAAAAAATTTTCGGTAGCAAAGAACAAATTTCGGAACAAATTTTACGATAGCAAAGAGTGATCGTGCTATTCAACTTGAATCTGTCACTTATTGTAACATATTACCCAAAAGCGATTTAAAAAAGAGAAAATCGAATTTAATTTTTATCGAAGGTTTATATATACGAAACATTTTCAAATAGCCTTATTAAAGATGTTTGAGTAACTATTTTAAGCTCTACTTTTTCGCTCAGATTCCTTTATCACACCAAGCCGAAAAAATGGTATAAGTTTAAAGAAAAAAGATTTTATTTTAAAAATCATCTTGCCTTACGCTAAAGTACAAAAGGATATATTTCGCTCATAGCAAATTATTAAATAGACCATACAGAATACCTCAATTCAATTTCGAAAGAATTCTAAGACGGATTAAATCTTTGCACCAAATATATTATAAGCACCAAATATATCGCGCGTTAATTGACCCAAATTGGCAATCTATAAACCCCAATAACTTCCAAAACGATCACAGGTGAAATATCTTTTTAAACTTGAGCTCAAGATAACAATATATTTCAGATTGTATTAAAAAAATCCGCCAAAAATGGGTAATTGAAAAGTCGAAATCTGTCTGGAGGAAAACCACTTCGAGCACAGATATTCCGTCATTTTCTTCGAAAGAAGTCGGAAGAATTATGATGAATTTTCAAAAATAATTCAGTTGTTTAACATAAAAAGCTAATTGTATGGAATTCGACTTATCGAAATTTTAGTGCTTCAGAAAGTTTCAGTTACGTTGACTATAGGGAGGTTTTATTGAAAGTGAAAATGAATCAAATTAGTCGTTAAAAATATACTTGCTTAATTTTAATCATCCAATAGAACCGAAATGCAAACGAAACGTTGTATAACCGTAACTATTCTGCTGTTGGTAAACTGGGGTATAGTATTGAAGTGCAAAGGGTTTTAACTTGAAACTAAGTTTTAAACAGTGGTTTGTTTTCAAATACAGTGAATAGCCAGCAAGATATAATCAACCAAATCGATCAATTGATCAATTCGCAAGACACTGCAAGCCTTTCAGCCAATACGAAATTGTCAAGACAAGCTGAGCTAGATATCTTCAATTTTCTGGTTGACGAGGAATAAAGTCATGTTAATTTCTGTGAATCGTGATCTGTTTATTGTTTGGTCCTTCATTTTTGCGAGTTTATATTTTAGACTGTTTGATGTTAACTTATATTTGGTTGCCATCGTTCCAAGTATCGAGTTTATGTTGAAAATATGGAACTGAAACAAATATTTACAAGTTCTGCTATGAAGATAACTTGTTTGATTGGTTTGAAAAATCTTGTGGAAATATTTTCTGTTTTACCTATCTGGAAAGTTTTATTTCATGTTTCGTCCCTCATAAAATTAGTGAAATTTAGTTACTTAAAATAAGACTTCTCAATTATGGAAAAATTTGTGATATGTTTTCAGATAATAAACATGGCCGCAGCTACAGCAGGACCCTACAACTACAGTTACATCTTCAAGTACATCATCATAGGTAAAAAGATCAAAAGAGTATCTTGAACTAACTATACTCCTATGGTACTTAAAAGAAATGTTCAAAACGGTAAATAAATAATTCAATGGTGGAGCAAAAGCATAATGATTATTTAAGTAGTAACTAATTCGCTAGGGGCTTAATGGGAAGATTTTCTGGGGTCAGTTCAGTTTTTCAGTCTTGATTCGAATTTAGAATGTCACTTCAAAATTGGTGGCATTATTTTTGGTGAATCTGAGCTTGTTGTTTGGTCCTAAAAGCTTTAGGTTAATTAGATTTCGTTACAAAATTTTTTCCGGAATTTATATGGGCAGTTTTAGATTCGTTCAGATTCGGTGACCGAAAATGATATTGCCTTCTTTACATAATTAATAGAAAAAATTTGGAACACTGATTTAATTAAAAATAAACGTAGTGAAGATACTTATGTAGATGGCGCTGATTATTTAGTTTTTTTATCAAAAAAAGTTATCACCTCTAAGTTTGATTTTTCGTGGTTTGACTTGATTTCTTGAATTTTGATTCAATTTTATTTGCTAAAAGGAAGAAAAACTTCAATTGGCCCAAAAAGGAATAGAATTTGAGCTTACAAAGTGAAAATTGCAAGCTTGCAAAGTGAAAATTACTTGCAAACTATTTTTTTGTGCTAACTTTGGGTCTTAAGACAGAAATGAATTCTCTAAGTAGTTTGAACTTCCAAGATTGCATGCATAATTTGTCTAAATTATGCATATTGCTCTTTAAAATGACAAATTTTGCATGCAATCTTGAAGTTCAAACTACATAAAGAAATATCTTGATTTTGAATTGGGGTTGCAATTGAAACAGGCACTGCCTTTAGAAATGGGCGATAATAACACAAATGAGCTAAGGAAATATTGCGCTTTTTCACAGACGTCCATTTTCTTGCAACTTCCAGGACATGCTTTCAAATCGCTCCATTCAACAAAAGTGTGCCGCGCATTTTGTCAGAGCAAAAATGAATGCCAACGAAGAAAGCAAACGCGAAAGTTCAAAGAATAATGTCTGTTTTTTTAAATGAAAACAATTTGAATTACATCAGAAATTTCAAATGTCAAATGAATTCGATATAATCTATAAATGACAATACCATATCGTTGGAAATATCGGAGACCTAGAGCAGCTTGATTTGAAGGTTTTTGACAAAACCGTTTTTGGAGGCTTATGACAAAATTGGTTTCCTGCGCCAACTGCAGTTTTCGATTTATTTACTTTCTGCTGTTTTTTTATTGAAAAGTATATGACAACCAAAATGATATTCACGATAATTCCAAGTTGTTGCGATCACTTCACAAAATAGGAACTATCGCGTAGGAAGCTTTTTTTCAGCTTGTTTTGACTAGCTACGAGAAAGCTCGTATTTGGTATCATATTGAAGCCATTTCTTCCGTGATTCCGGATTCTGAACAAAGTCAAAAATGCTTTCTCAGCAAATATTTCGTTTTTCAGACGAGTATAAATGGAGAAATTGACGAGAAATATATATCAGAAAAAAAGCATTTTGGGTCGATTGATATATCATATTAAAGCCCTTTCAGCCCATATTCGAACGATAAATGCACTAGCGTCAGCTTAGTGTATTGTTACGAACCTTTTTTTTCTAACCAATCTAGCAATAAAAGTTTTAATTAAAAGTGTTCGCTTATTTGGAATTTTCACTGTAGCATTGGAGATTGCATATCATCTGTTCTCTGCTTTGTCTGTGACTAGTTTTTGGCTATAAATGATTAAGTTTCCGTGGTTAGGGTGTGATTCTCTTAATCACTAGGTTGAAGGTGCGAATCTCAGACTTAGACAATTTTTTTGCTAATTCGGGGCTTATTTTTACTCTTTCTTATTGCACTGCAGTGTTCTTGCTAGTGTTTGCAAAGCGAAGCTTCGCCTTTGTGTAAATATTTGTCAAAAAATTGTCCCAGTTTGAGAAAAACCGGTTAAAATTTTTGAGTATAAGATCAATTTTGAGCGAGTAAAACAAGTGAGCAGACTTTTATAGAAGGATAGGCCATGAAATTTTTGTTTTATTCTAGTAAAAGCGTTTTTGGAAGTTTTTTCAGCGCCGTCTTGTAAGTAAAAAGTTTGCCTGTTTGAATGTAATTTTCGATTACGCCAAAGATTTAAGCTTTCGCCAGATTCTTTTAGCACACCACGCACAAAAAACATTACCAAGTTGAAAACAAAAAAAACGTTTTTTTTTCTTCTCGACAATATGCTCGGAACGTTCTGCGCTACTTGCACAGCAACCACCTATACTTGTTTTTGTTTATTTGGTTTTAGGTGATATGGGAGTTGGGAAGTCCTGTTTGCTGCACCAGTTTACAGAAAAGAAATGTAAGTCCACTCGGAAGGTTTCTAGGAAAAAGAAATTCATTTAACGTTGAAAATGAAATATATAATTTGTTTAGATTTTCCATAGAGCTCTTTTTGATCGTTGATGTATATCTCAAAGGCGGCAGAGAAGGGGCGTAGCGATTAGCATGTGTGCCTATTTGCTTGCGATAGTTGGTTGAATTAGGTTTAGGTATAGACTTAAGGTGTCAGGACAAAAGATGCCGTACCAAAAGATACCATGAGAGTCAGCTGCATTCCTTTCCATGAGAATGCTAATAGGCACACATGCTAATATGCCGCTCCCCATCTGGAAGTCTCTTGTATTGATCGGACGGACAGCTTCCTCCGAAGTAGAATCTCTATCCTCCCTGGCTTACTCGCGTTGTGTCGCTACTACTAATTCTATTGTCTTTCTTTTTAAATGCAAATGGAAACATGCTGTTATGTTTAGTCATGTCCGACTGTCCACACACGATTGGGGTGGAGTTTGGCACTAGAATCATAGAAGTGTCTGGCCAGAAGATCAAACTGCAGATTTGGGACACAGCGGGACAGGAGAGGTAGGCTGCAATCGAATGGATCAATCAAAGAAACAATCTCTATCATTGTTCATTGTTGTTGAACCTCATTGATTTGATTTATCAAGTCTAATAATTCTTTAAATTCGACGCTCCATCTCAGTCATCTCTCAATGACCGAATAGTCTATTCTCGTCACTTCTCATGTACTTCAATAGATGGTGACTAAATCTGAATTTATCGAGTCGAGTTCATGAAAGTAATTCTCAAGGCTTCTGTTCTCGAAATGAATTGAATGTTATTTTATATGGTTTAAATGCACTCAAAATTAAAAATTTAGCCGATAATTCGGTGGATGCCTTTCAAAATATATTGCTTTATAATAAATATGTTTTGAAGAGGTGCGTGTTACGAAACACAAATGTACTATAATGTAACTAGCATTATCTTGAGGGGTTTTCTTTTTGTTCCGACCATTTGAAAAATGTAGAGGAACTTTGTATTCGGGTGTGTTTTAGTTTTTTTTCCCACGCAAAATCAGGTACCACAAATAAGTACCACAAATCAGGTACCACCAGGAATTTTCTGATGTACGTGTTTTTTGTGAGCGTGCAGGCTTACAATAGCTTGAAAACTTGAAAACTAAATTACACGTGAAATCTTAGTTTTATTCCATTAAAGTTAGTTTTTGCAGTTTTCAGCGCCATTTTGGTAATAAAAAAATCAAAGTTCTGCAAAAAAAATTAGAAAAAACGTTTTTCTTTCTAGTGATTTTATACAATATCTGTTTTCCAATTGGCCTATTTTACGATGATTGTCGAATATGCCTAAGCTCTAGTGTTTTGTTCACATCCTTTTATCACGCCACCCAGAAAAAAAAAGAAACTATTTTTTTTCAAGACTGGTCGGAACATTCTGTGCTATTTCAAGACTGGTCGGAATTTTCAGTGCGGAAGATTCTACTTTTTTTCGAGACAGGTCTGAACAGTCTGTGCTATTTGCAAATTAACCTGCTATCCTTGTTTGTTATATGTATCCAGAGGGTGATACTATTAGGCTGTACGTAGCTAATGGTGTTGTGTGTTTGGGCGTAGGTTCCGAGCAGTGACTCGCAGTTACTACAGGGGAGCAGCCGGTGCACTCATGGTGTATGACATCACAAGGAGAAGCACTTACAACCACCTCAACAGCTGGCTATCAGACGCCAGAAATCTCACCAACCCAAACACTGTAACAGAACACTTCTCTCTCAATTGTCGCTTTCATTTTGTAGTGCAATTGCCCTCTTCTGCACATAATAAGAAAGATGTTTCCTGTTGCTCACAAATAATGATTTCTGGAATTATATAGAGAACTTGTTTGTGGGCACTACTAGCAGTGAGAAGGTTTTCTTTGTTTCAGCTATGACGTTTTCTCATTTGTGCAATGTTGAAAACTAGCATTTTGGTCTGTAAAAAAGCCAATCATGAATCATGTAACAAGTAATCATGAATTGTTGGTTGTGTGTTTGTTGCAGGTGATATTTTTGATTGGGAACAAGAGTGATTTGAATGAGAGCAGAGACGTGACTTACGAGGAGGCGAAACAGTTTGCGGATGAGAACGGACTCCTGTTTATTGAGACCAGCGCCAAGACGTAAGCAAGCAATCAATCAGTACACTTTTTAGAACACTACTCTGAGTTCGGATACGAGTATTTATCCATAATGAGGAAAGAGACCGAAATAGAAGCTGTTCAGCTCTTCACGGAAAACTACATGCAATTTTCTCTTATTGTTTTTCTGAGCTGGGCTCGGTAGTCTGACCCTTAAGCAACATGTATGTATCATGAAGCGTGCAGTAAAGAACTTGGGTTCCATATGAATGTTTGAGAAAAACAGTTGTAAGATTTGAATGTCACTCAAATTTGGTTGTTCTGAAATGACTGGAATGTTTGTTGCAGGGGTGAATGTGTGGAAGATGCTTTCATTGAAACTGCAAAGAAAATCTACCAGACCATTTTGGATGGAAGGTATGTGATTCGAACTTCATTTATAAGTTTGAAAAAGTGGTCCGAGTATCGTGGAAAATTGGTCGGAATTTATTGAGTTTTGTTTACGCTTGCGATTAGAAAGCATTATCAAATCGGAATATTAACTTTTTTCGGGTTTACAACTTGTTTAACTATCACTTGGTCTCTTGGCTCGTAATGAATTCAGTTTTTGAGCGTCTTCGGCATGTTTAGTCTGAAAGTAACGAATACGTCTGGGACGGCAAAGGTCCTGTGTTCGAATCTGAACAGGACCTGTTTTTTTTCTCAAACGGGCAATATTCCGATCCGAAAACATTGTCGGCTTATTATTTCTCGGCGTTTGTTTTGTTGGCTTAGTTGCCACAATTTTTTTGCAGCATGTAGTTTTCATTGTAGTTGCTTTTATGTTACACAAGCGGAGTTAAGCGTAAAGTAAAATTTTCGCATTTTCGTATCATTACAATATATGATTATAAATACTAGAACAGGTAGACCCAGCATCAGCTGGGCCAGTATTTTACTTCCAAGCGACCGTGGCGCAGATGCAAAGACGTCAGACTCCTAATCAATAGGTCGGATATTCAAGCCCGGAACATTAAAACAGTTTTTTTTGTCGATTTTTTGCGGTACAACATTCGCAATTTGATAGAAATTAGTTGCCTCTTTGGTGTTAGGCTGATGTTCACACTCGGGTTACTAAAATTAGAAGCGGCCATAGAGCCGATGTGAGAACATGATACTGTAACCTCAACAAAATTTTTTCAATGTGTATTTTTAATCTGATTTCACTTTGTTTTGCCTTTTAGAGCTCTTTGTTGCATGTATCTCGCTTGTGTTTCCAAAGCGCAGCTTCGCCTCTGTGTTTCATTTACTCCTGCATTTTGTAATTCTAGTAGCGTTGAATTTGTATATTTGTTTATTTTCGTTTTTGCTTAAAAATGTTATCGGCCTAAATGATTTTTGCTGATGTTTTATTGGCTTACTAACCTAATTTTGGGTTGTTCGAGGGAAGCATAATTTTTATATTTTCTTCTGGGTTGCCCAAAACGTTAAAAATCTCAAAATAGAATTTATAGCTCACAGTTTTTTAGTGACAACATTTTTTTTCGATCTGATTTTTTTCGATCTGAATTCGATCTGAAAAGACAGCTTAGTTGTGGTTTCTTCGAAAATTTTCTTTTTTTTTCTTTGGACTTAGTGGCTCCTTTCCCATCCTGTCTGCTAGCTTGAAATGCTATTTTTGTGGTATCGCAAAAGATGATAAGATCCGCTTCATCTCTGTGTCTAATTTCGAGCAAGTAAAGCGAGTTTTTGCTTTCTCGCTCGAAATTAGACTGGAAGTTTTTTGTATGCTTTTGTTATACTTTTGTATTGCAAGTGATGCGAAGCTCTGCTTCGCCTTTGTGTAAAGCTTTGCAAGTGTTAATTTAAGGTGATGGTTTTTTTGTGAGGAATTAGAATAAAAATGACTGAACTACATCTCTCCGTCTAACTGATGCTTCTTTTAGTTTGGACTTAAATGCCGTGGACAGTGGAATCCAGTCCAGAAACAACCGACCAGACCTCAGAAAACCCGCAGGGCAAGAGGAGGGCGCGAAGACATCAGGTTGCATATGTAGATAGACAACAGCAAAACAAACTAACACCAATATCAACAATATGACAACACAATTCCCCCGAATAGTACAAATTCTACATTAATTCATTTTTCAAAATAAGTTACTTTTGACAAACGATGCAACCCTTCCAAAGCCCTTGGTGGTTTATCAATAAATAAGCCACTCCATTTATATCCTATATGAAATATACTCTAAATTTCAAATTGATAAAAATAGATTGTAGTGTTTTTAACCACATGCGGCTTTAATGACTTTTTGATTGCTTTTTGTTCGTTATTGTGACTCAGTTTTGATGAAATTACGTTACTATAAGCATACTCGTGAAGCTGTACTGCTGATCGATAGATGTTACTTTCTGCTTAACGCCCATCAGTGTCTATTTACCTACATGTGTATAGTTTATTTATGACAATTCTCATATGGACCATAGAGAATTCTGAATTGTGTATCTAACTATTCTGATGTTTCATTTCACATCGACACAAACTGACTTTTCTGGACTAATTTGCTCATTGAATCAAACAAATTTAGTTACCTTTTCTCTTAAATGAAATGAATTAGCGGCTCTGATGGTCGAATATGAATTGGGTTTAAAACGAAAAAAGGGGAAAACCAGGAAAACATTGTGGAGATATGAGGCGCTTGAATTTATTTTAAAACAATAACAATGAGTCCAAATAAACTAATTAGTCACATTTTTGTCTGCTAAGAACCCAAGAAGATAAAATGCGATTTCTAATTTAACTTTGTGAAGTTTCTCAATTTCATTTTACAAATGAATGCATTTAAAATCAAATTATTTCCACATGTTCGCTCGCCGTCATTCCTGCAATTTGCGCAGCCTGAGCTTTCTTATTTTTTTAGCTTGTTATTTGAAAATAAATAGAAAAACAACGGAATTTTGTTTTCAGGAAGCTTAGCCGCATGGTCTCAAAATATCTATTTTGCCTGTTGTCTTGTTTTTGTTGCTAAGTTGAAGCCACTTAATGTCACACAAAATGTTTGAACGAGAAAGGTGCTTGATGTACAAAGTTGGTCCAGGTTTTGATCGTCTTTTGATACAAGATCTTATATTGAAATTCAAAGTATCAAAAATGTGAACCCAAAGTTTGATCCCCATCATTCAAAACAATTAATTAATTTCAACGGTGTAATTATTAAAATCCTTATCAATGAAAAGCGTCGAAATGTTTCCTCATGTATAATTTCTGTCTGCTTAATTTATAAAAAATGTACCATACGTGAAAAGAAACCGCCAATTGATAACTCGAGTAGATTATTATTTCAATTTCATCTCTCAATATTGATTACTTCATAACATGAAACGGCGATAGATTACACTTGTAGGTTGCATACTGAATTTTGTTGCCACTGTGGCTATTTTAACTTCAAAAACTAAATTTTAAAACCGAATTGATATGGTTTGCATCTGGCTTGTTTGCCTTATTATTATCATGCAAAAATGTTTTTTTTTTAAGTTTTAGGGGCAATATATCGTTATCTATCGTCTGTAGTGCTAATGCGTAATTCATAATATCTTACAGTATATATTTGATGGAAATGCACTTGCTGTGATGAGCGGTTTCTTAGTTTTTCAGTCAGTTTTTGGCCGTTATCATAGCAACAGTTCGTTTTTCAATAAAAATCTCAACAACATTTTTGTCAAAGTTATGATTTTATGAAACCGTTTGTATAGATTAAAACCATTTAAGAAAACAACGTCTTAAATTAAAAAAAAAATCAGTCAACGGTTTCTATCAAGTTTCGCGATACTGTTTACTGTCGGCGTATTTTCTTCAATAATGTGATTATACAAGTCAGCTAGCTAGCGTTGTGTTATATTCGATTCCGCTCAGAAGTTTTTTTATCAGTTGTAAATTTCTTTTTTTTCTACTTTTGCTTTTTAGATATATTTTCGCCGTTTTCTCGTTTGTTTTACCCAAATGCAGCTTCGCTTATGTGTAAAGGGTATATATTTGGTTTTTGTTTGAAATTGATGGTTGAAGACTTGGGAACAGCAAATATGTACGAGTGACGCGGAAAAACTGTGACCACCAAATTTTTGAACGAAACTTGTTTTGAGTGGTAGTTTTCACATGCACATAATTGCGATAACGCGATCTTTTTGCATTGCTCTGGATGTTTGAAATGCCATTTAGAAATTTATTAAGAGTAATGAGCGAAGTGAAGATTCTTATAAAGGTCTTGGTGATTTTTTTTCAGGAAAAAGTTAAAATGCTCTAATAACTACAGATGTGCATTCATACATATTGATGCATTTATGAATGCACTAAGATATATGCGCATTTGTTGAGTTCAATTGAAATTCATCTGCTGAAAGTGACGTAAAGAGCGCTCTCCAAATACAAACGTGGAAATGGCGCGAAAAACGTGAACGATTTCTTGTTTGGAAAGTGAAATTTATTTTATAGATTTTCAGCGGAATAATTACACAAGCTTATTTATTGTTCTAGTATGAACTCTCTTTTTGTTTCAACCTAAGTCGCAAATATTGTTGCGATGCAACTGTTCCGACAAAATGTGTTCAAATTAACTGGTGTTACTAATGCGTCATAATTGGCTTGTGTCACTTAGGAAATTTTGTAGACTCGAAGTTTTACTCATTCAGTTTTTCCCAGCAGCGTCTGTGAAATCAGAGACGCTTTTTCCCAGTAGCGTCTCTGTGTAACTTCGCCTCTGTGTAAAAACCTGTTGAACCAGTTTTCTCAAGTTGGGTTATGTTATCACCAATCGTAAATCCTTATAGAAATTCAACAGCTTGAAGGGCTTCTTGTTTTTTCTTTGAATTTCGAAAGTTTGAAATTCGAAAGATTTTACAGTGTTTTTTTTTTCAATGTTTACTTGCGTTCATTACTCTTTTACAATCTTTGATTGCCTATGCAATTTCAGTTTCAGTGCAATTTCAAAGTCTTTCAATTTGAGTCGGAGTTCTTTTTCAAAAATTAAAGCGTTCGATTAATTGTTCATAAGAAAGTTTCGGAAAGTTGTAATATACATTGATAAAAGAGAGCAAATGATTTACTTTTGGAAGCTTATCTTTACAAACGCTAATTTTATAGACAGAATTTGTGATTCAAAAGTTTGTGAAAGTGCAAAATTTAGTTTTTTCTGTTAAGGCGTCGATGAACGTAGTGCAAACTTTTATATGGGTCGTGATGATTTTTTTTCGTTTTTTACAAGAAAATTTTAATTATTTTGAATCTCAGATTTACTTTTTCGCGGTTTGAGTTGATTTTTTTTAAGACCAGTTCATTTCCTTTGTTGAAAGAAAGGCTAACTCCAATATCGAACAGCGAAAGCGTGAAGGTCTCGAAAAACCTTATTGATTTCGAAATTGGAAATTATATTTCATATTTCCCAACGAAATAAACATTTTACCGAATGATCTAGTTTTCTCAAATTGATTGATTTTTATCAAAAATGTCAATCATGAATTGTTCTAGAATTTCGAAGAGCTTTAAGGCCATCTGTATTTTTCTTGAATTTTCGAATGTCATTGACTCTTTTCCAACTGTCTGTTCGCTATGTTCCAACTTAATGCTATAGAGATTTGCAAAACAATTTTGGATAGCCAGAATGAATTCAAAAGAGCAATCGTTCTATTTGAGAAAGTTTTCGCAAGCAAAACCCTTATTTTCAGGTAGAGGGGAAGGATACCTGACAGTTCAAAGTTGTACGTGAAATATTTCCAGAATTGGCAGACTTTTCATTTTAATTTATTTTGACTGCCCGATTTCCTTTCTACTAATTATAACCTTCAAAAAATTCGTTACTCAAAAATATGTGTAACACAGTTTTCAGAGTAAAAATGCACAGACAAAAAAGCAAAGCTGATACCTGAAAGGTTTATAGATAATGGGGTATGATTTGCTTACATTATCGGTGATTGAACAGTGCTTTTCGGAATATTACGGTTTTTGTGCAAATTACTCACGTCCTAAAATAAATTGAAAAATTAATTTCCGACGTCGAAATGAGCAGATATAGATTAATCAACCTCGTTTAGATTTTTTGACTGAAACGGATACTGCCAATAATTAATTTTAGCCTAATGTCACAATTATTGTTAATTTCAATTCTTTCAGTGTTCCAGAAAAAGTTTTTTTTATGGATTTTTTGAATCGATTTTTGGACTAAATTAGATTAAGCTGACGATACTGGCCTCTTGCATGTTTTAACTTTTTCATTCGCCGTCGAAAAAACCACGGAAAGTAAAGACAACAAAAATGCAAAAATTAAATTCTAAATTAATTTTCATTTGTCAATTTGGTCGAAACATTCTGTGCTGCTTTCACAGCAACCGATTTGTCTGGTTAGGAGTCATGATCGTAATGAATACTCTTATCTAGGTCTAGTTGATTTTTTTCTGTTAAGGCTTAAAAATTGTTCACGCTCAAATTGGTTTTTTTTGCGGATTGACCTTTGTTTTCTTTTCAAGCTCAGTGCGTTTCTGTTGTTAAAAGGAAGGTAAACTTCATTATCGAGCAGCAAAAGTGTAAAGGCCACAAAATTTTGATATCGAACTCTAGTTTTGACAGGGGATTTAAATTTTCAAACTTTCCTGCGGAATAAAAAATTTACCTATTGATACAGTTTTCTCAATTTGGGTTAATTTTATCAAAAAAAGCTTTTTTTTTAAATCAAAAGTGTCATTTAAACTGTTCTTGAAATTCAAAGATTGTAAGGGTATATGCATATATCATTGAAATTTAAAAGTTTTTTAAAAAGCAAACTAGTATTTTTTTTTGGTTTATTTGCGTTAATTGGTTCTTTTCCAACTGTCTGAATCAATGAAAAAATATTGTCAAAGAAGTTTGAAAATTGAATGTTTGAACTAGATAATGCGCAATCTAATTTCGCTCTCAAAATTCGCTCTCAAAGCATTCGAAACTGATGTTGCCCAGCGTCAAGGGGTTCAATTGATGTTTTATTATACGAAATTTTTATCATTTAGCAGTAGCCGAAAGATTGTTTGTTTGAGGACCATAATGATCCGTACTCGTTTTCGGTTCTTAGCTGCAAATTATGCTTTTTGCTGGCTTGAATGAGTGAATGTCTTTCCAGAATCAGTTTGCCTATTCCATCTCTCTGAAGTGTTAGAAGTGACTTCATTCATCAAACATAACTGAAGCGATCTGTTAGCGGATCAGTACTGAAGGGTGTGTGTCGTTTGATCATGTCGAGGGAGGAAGAGGTGGTGGATTGTGGCAGTGGCAGTAGTGGTGATTTGAAGACTGAGGCGGAAGCTGAAGCAGAAGTTGACTCCTCAACAAGGGAGAACAACAACAACGGCAGCAGTGGTGCATATGTTGCAGTGGCCGAATCAGAAGGCGAAGATCCAATCGAAGTGAGTAGTTTCATTTTGTTCCTATAAAACAGAAATAGAAAAAATATGAAAATCTTTTAAACTAATTTTTGCTGAAACTTTTTTTGATTCGTTTTTAAAGTTTTGTTCCCAAGAGGGCTTTAAAAGCATTTTCGATAACTAATTTCACTTGAGTAAAACCAAGTAATAGTTATTTTATTAGTTAAGTTTTAAAATAACCAATATAAGCCTATCACAAGCCTGCTTGCTTGCTTTAATCCTCGAAATTAGACAAAAATTGAAATAATGTCGACCGCATCGAATCAACTGAAAATGCTTCAATATGACATATCACTTGACTCATTCCGATAATTGTTTGTGGTACTTGATTTTGCGAGGAAAACAACAAAAACTAAAACACACTCGAATATAAAGTTCTTCCCACTTTTCAATAGTCGGAACAAATACGAATAAAAATTGAGGTAAAAGAGCGAGCTCTGTTGTAGAAAAATGTTACAATTTCTATCCATTTAACCTGAATCCTGCGTAGTAAAGTTCGTAGTAAACCATAAGCCTTGAACTTAAGGAACCGCATGAGTGAAACAATAGTACTGATAATATTCAGGTCCCACTTGAACACGACGGAGGCCTTCTTCTCACTTCAGTCCAGTCCCAGTTCCCATCGGCAGTCGGGCTCAAGTTCCGAAACCCCACAGCGTCCAACAGGTCCTTCCGAGGAGTCCGGCTGGCAGAAGGGGTCCTCTATCCCCCTGCTGAGGGAGGGTGGGGGGATGTGGTGTACTTGGTGAACACTGTAAAAACACAAACAGGTGAGTTAGTTTGCGTATTTGGATAACTGTAATGACTTAATAAACCTCATTTTGGGGAAGAGAAGCGACATCGGCACGCTACGTTACAAATCTAAAAAATGGACAGAGGCGTTTTTATTTAATCAAGGCATGGCGATTGGTAATGGCCTAATCAGAAATGCCTTCGGTTGTTAGCTCACCCGATAAAAATATTTCAGATACTATGGTGACTGAGGCGTCCTTCTTTTATGACTGGTTTGAGTTAATTTTTATCATTAAACTCATCTGGGCATTGTCACTATGACTCTAGGCAACATTAACTTTTGTAGCAGTTTTGGAGGGATAATGTGTGCTATAATTTAGATAACAAGCGCAAGATGGAAGATAGTGCTCAAGCAGAGGTGTCCAAGACGAAAAGACCCACCACTCAATTGTCTGATCTGGTAGTGTTGAATCTGCCCTACCACTACACCAAGGAGAATTTGGTGGACTATTTCTCCAAGCACGGCGAGATCGCATTTGCTCAAGTGAGTGGCAACGTTGACTGTTCTCTTGAATCTGTTCATTTCATACTCTTTTGTTCTGTAAATTGAGATGGAATATTTTCATCATCATCGTCATCCACCCTCCTTTTCTACCCTCTTCTTGGAATTGATAGTGTAGTGAGAAAAGCCTTGAATATTTTTTCAATCTTGAAATTTAATAGACTGCTACCATTCCTTACGAAGTTTTGCTTTGAGATGATGGCTTGCTTGTTAAACATCTAGTTATGTCGTCTGTACTTAACAGTAATTATCTCCAATGTCAATCTGTCTGAACTGAATGGGATGGATGTGAATACTTTTTTGGGTTATAGTATTCTTCAGTTTTTCCTTATTATTATATAATGAACTTGACTGCTTGGCGCGGATTCATTTTACTTTTGTGCCAGCTTCTTTTTGAGCTAGCACTTAGACCCGCTGATTCCGTTAATTAGTTAAATACTTCAGTTTGCTAATTTTAAATTTTTTTCTTCGTCATCAAGATCTATTCGTTTGATTATTCACTGTAATTTTGAATGTTGCTGTACAGATGCTGTATTTTCGAAAAGTTGGTATCCGCATTTCATTTTTGTCAACTTCGGTTTAATTTCAGATTCTGTTTTTTTCATGTTTCTGCTGTATGTATTAGTATAGGTCAAAGAGAATCGTAATAGATATATTTGATTGACTGTCGCTGGTTTATTTTTGCTGAAAATAAATATGCTGTGTGATGCTGCGTTCTCCAAACTGCTTCAGCCTCAAAACAGTTAGTGACATTTTCAATGTATTCAAAATCATTTCAGGGAATCATGCGCCCGCTTTCTTATTCATTTGCACATCTTTTCAGAAGATCATTAATTTTAAAGACATTTGACGGAATTTTCTTCGCTGGGGTTTTGAAGTGTGTCAAATAAGTGGATATAGTTTCCTAAGTAATTTGTACCAGCTTTTTTGTGTTAGCACTCTTGGACTGTTCTTAAAGATGCATCAAAGAAATGGATTTACAAAAATGGAAATGAAAAATTAGAAACAATGCCATCCTGCTTTGAATGTGATCTAGCTTTGCGAATATCTAATTTTTGATTTGTTTCAGGGCAAGTGGACAATGCAGCGTCGGAGCAAAGAGTGCCACCTAACAAGAATGCGAGCTCCGTGGCAAAGCAATCGAGTTTGAAAATTAGCTTAAAAAGAATGTAATTGTGAGCTTGTTTAGATAATGAAAAATGCATCTGGAGAATCAAGGGGTTTCGCATTTATCCGTTTTGTGAATTACGAAGACCAGAAGAGGATGAATGGGTGTCATTTCGTAATTGACGGCAGAAAAGTTCACGTGAAAAAACCGGCATCTCAGGCGAGTCTAAAATGATAAAAGCGATATATTAAGGCTTTTTTTTACCACATTATGACAACTTAAAAATAGTTTTTCAGAACTGAAATTCAAATGTGGGGTGGAAAAGAGCCTATATTTATATTAATTTATTTAGACCATTTTTCCACGAGGGAAAAGACTGATGTTTAGCTCATCACGGAGAACCGCTGTTGTTCCCCTGCTTAAGAATTACATGTAATTTTTTGGGCTGGGTAATGCCTCACCCACAAGCAACGAGCACGGATTATGCTGGGCCTCGAACATCCGACCTTTCGATTGAGATGCGGAGACGTAACCACTTCACCACTAATCCCCTTATCTAATTCAATTGTTTCAAGCTCTTCAAAGACATTTGTCAATCGGGAAAAGTGCATGTGTTTTTGATAATATCATTTTTTCATTGTTTGTGGAAAACCGACTAGCTGAAAAAAAGGTGAAAAACCGAACAGCAAACCAAAAATTAAAGTTTTTGATGGAAAATTGTCACTGTTATGCGATTGTTACAGAATTCTCATGTAATTTCGGCTTCAAGATATAGTGGTTTGTCGAACATCTGCCGGATCGTTGAACTGATCTATATTTCAGGCGCCAGAGCTGTGCAAAGTGTTTGTGGGTCGCCTCACCTGCAGAATCACCAAAGAAGATCTCACTGAACACTTTGAGCAGTTTGGCCCAGTGAGTGAAGTGTTCTTCGATGCAGGGAGGAAGCAGTACGGATTTGTCACTTTTGAGGAGAGTGTTTCGGCCGAGAAAGCTTTGATGCATAAAGCACATTACCTCAAGGTTGATAAAAATAAGTTATTTTTTGAGAAGCAGTTAATAAAAACCAAAACAAGTTGACAATATTTGGAACAGTTTTACCTGTCAATTAAAAGAGTTTCAAAAAACGAAGTCTTTTTTATTGTGAAGTCTGTTCAGTATCTTCCAGTGAAGTCAGCAATCTGAGTATATTGAAATTTGGTTCAATGCCGCATATGACTGTTAATTTCTCTCGATAGATCTTTTTACTGTTTCAGCAAACTCACATAGTTGTCAGACCGGCAGAGCCAGTAGATAAAGCCAAACAGTCACCAAATCAGCCACCTCTTCCCCCCACTAGCCATAACTACCCCAATTCAACACCATACTTGCACCCCCACAACTCTCCGAATCAGTATTCGTACAATCCTTCTTCTCATCACCACGAGGAACAGCAGTTGTCTCCTTACCACCATCATCAGCCCTCCTACTCGGAACCCAAATTCGCACCACCTAGTCCATACGATGGCTACTCGGTTCCAAGTCCCATGCAACACAGCTCGTCCAACGAGGCTCCGGCTGGAGTAGCGGTGAAACGAAGTTACCAGCCGCAACCACCTCCATTGCCCCCGATAAACCATCAGGTGAAAAAATGTTTTACAAAAACTTGAAAAGTTTCGTTGACTATCTTAAGCCAGTTTTTAGCATAGTGTCGCTCGCATACTTTTCACCAACCAATCATGTTTTTAGTTGATTTCAATTTTTACGAAGCTTGTATTTTTTGTTGAAGCCTATGAGTCCAGCGGGACCTTCTGCGCCTATCCCGCAACAACGTCCCGCAGCACATACGGACCCTGGCGTGTTTGGCCAAGAAATGCTGACAGCAATGGCAAAAATGATGGCAACTGCGATGTCAACTGGAACGTTCAATGCGGCCACTCAAAATTTCCCTGCCATGTCTTCTGGTAGCATGGGGGTGCCACCGCTACATCATCCTTCTACACTTCCGCCGCCGCCAATGACTAGTCGCATGAACACATCTTATGATGGCCATTCGTTCAGGCTTTCTCACAGCAGTGCCAATGTGCACGCTTCGCACGGTGGTGCACCTGCACCTCACTATTCGCACGGAGGAGGAGCTTATCGATATCCTACAGTTGCTATGACAAACCCCTACAGGTCTCCGCCCCATGATCCCTATAATAATATGTATTGAATTGGATTCAAAATTGTGCGTATATTGTTCGAGATACGCCATGAACTTGATGGTAGTTTTAATTTTTGAGTCGCAGTCCATATTTCAGTCTTTATTATTTTCAAGTTCTCAAAAAAGCGGTCTTGTCTGTGAGATAGAGTTTAATGTTTAATGAAGTTTGCTCCAAGTCATTTATAGTTTTGTAGATAATTGAAAATTCATTATATGATAAAAACATGCTTGTGTTTTAACATTGAAGGATGAAAAAGTGCTGGAAAAGTTGATGTCTTGTTTGGGAATGAAGCTCAGTAATTTCTGTCACTATAGAAGCAAGTGTTATTTTAAATTCTAAGGAATTAGTGGAAAGAAATCATAGAACAACCGACGAAGTCGCGAGCTCCCATTTTCTGTCAATTTTGTGATTTTTAACGAAAAGTTGTGCAAAATTTCAACAAAATTGGGCAAGTTGTTAACGTGTGCGGGTGGGGATTTTCTCTAAAAATTGTTGATTTTAGTCGAGTGCACCGCGGATTTTCTGTACAGCACTCGAAAAATAGCAGACAAAAGTTGACACCTTTTTCAATTGTCTGTTAATTTTTTGCTTGTTAAATTTGCATTTTTAAGAATCGATAAACGTAGTTCAGACTGTATAGCTACACAGATATACACTAGCAGACAAAATTTAGCAAAAATTCAGTTTTTTTACTCCAAATTACCGGTTTTCAGTGTCCAGTGTGGACAAATTTGACTCACATTTCAACACAGTTTTTAATTAGACCAAGAGCTAATGATTAGCTACCCTCTGGAACTATCAATATATGTTACTGATGACTTATTGTAATAATCCGGGTCTGATTTCCTCAGCTGCATTAAGTTTGTCAAAGCGCGTGAAAAGTAAGAAGCAGGTGAATTTAGATTTCAGAATTTAGATTTACGTGAATTTAGATTTAAGTTTTCAGACTGATTATTTCAGTATTCTCGCTGGGAATGCTTCACGTTCATGCAGAAATTCTTCGGGAAAGTGTTCACGCCGATGCACAACTTAGTGCAGATTAGGAAATCAGGCATTTTCAGACTCGATTTTTATTGGTAAATTTTGTACCATATAATGATAGTTTCATAGATGGTAGCTCTGTTCATGTGCTCTTAGTCGGTGTAAAAATTGTTGCTTAATTTTACTTTTTCACGTTTTGATTTTTTTCAAATTCAGTTCATTTCGGTTGTCAAAAAAAGGCAAGCTCCACTATCGAACAGCGATAGTATTAAGGTCACGAAAAAGTGATCAACTTTTTATTTCGAATTTGGATTATAGTTTTAAAATTTCCTGCGGAATAACAAGTTTACCTATTGAATCAATTGTCTCAAATTGGGTTAGTTTTTTTTGCCCTTGCGATAGAAAGAGTTTTGCAATCGGGTACTGGACTTTTTTTAACCCGTAAATGACTTTGTACACAGGTCTCATTGGACTCCTGGTGGTACTTTGGTTCATAATGAATTAAATTTTGTAGTGTCGCTTGCACACTTAGCTTGGTGATAACGAATACGCCTGGTATGGCAAAGGTCATGTGTTTGAATCTGACTAAGACTAGTTTTCTTTCAAACGATAAGTGTTCTAGCTCAAAAAAATTCGGCCTATTATTTGTCTGCTCATGTTTTGTCGGCTTAGTTGCAACATCTAAGAATCGTTTATTTTATTTGTAAGCAATTTTCACTGCAGTTGTTTTAAACATTTTAGAAATCCGGCAGAATCGAAATTAGTTTTTTCACGTTGTTTGTATTTTTACCAGCTCAATTTGATACAACTTTTTTTTGTCATTTTTCTCGTCTTTTTTTATCGGCTTAATAAATTTCGGTTTAAATAATTTCTGCTTATTGTCCTCTTATTGCTTCGTTACGTCCGGAAAAATTTTTTGAGCGCGTGAATGTGCTCTGAGGGGAACAGAGACTTAACAATTTTTTTAAGTTCAGAATTTTATGACTTTCTTTTCAGTATGAAGGGGTTTCTGCTCAGGTTTATTCTGCTTTGTTACCGCTTGGGACTTATAAGTTAACATCCAATCAACCATCTGGCGCATCTGCCGTAGAGGTAAATCAACTGCTTGAGATGGAAAAGATTTGAGGTTCGAATCTGGCCGCGCCCTTTTTTGCAAACCAGAGTTTTTGTGCTTTTTTTGGATTATCATCCGTCTGTTTATTTCTGTCGGCTTATTTCCCGTAGCTCGATGGTTCAGCTTTATTTCAAGTTGCTGTAACCCCCATGCTTGACACAGACGACAAAGCCCGGGAGTTCGATTCCAGTTGAGACCTGTTTTTCTTGCAAATAGAAAATTTTGACTAATTTAGATTATTGTCTGACTGCTTAATTTTGTCAGCTTAGCTCCGCAGAAAGGACTATTTTTTGAAAAGTTGGCTTCTGTGTAGCTTTCGCAAAGCTCTTTGTAGAGTTTTTAATGGTGCAGGCAATGTTGTTTCGTATATTTTGGGCTTTTGTTGCAGTTTTTATTGACAAAAACGATTGTTTAATTTTTTTTCCGTTTGATTTTCATAGTTTGATTTCCGTGATTTTCCGTTTGATTTCCGTTTGATTTTCATAGTGTCAAAATATTTCGCATCTGTGTCAAAAAAAATGAAAAATAAATTGTTTATAGAGTAATAAATGTCCTAAAAAGAGTTTTTAGGACATTTATTACTTTTACTTTGAATTTCAAATTTTAATTTGAATTTCAAAAGTCGTTTTCAAAAAGTCCGTTTTATTCTTTTTAACTTGCGTTTATTGACTTCCAAATGTCTGTTGGCTATGTATAATTTACTTCTCGGAGAATTTGGGTTCAAAACTCCAATGGAAGTCAGATTGTTTTTTTTCGATTGTTTTTCAGGGTAAGTATTTGGATATAAAAGTCTGAAAAACGGGAAAAGCTCGGATCTGAAAAGCAATATTTGTGATATAAATGAATTAAAAAAAATACATTAGAACAGATAGCCTTTTCAGATTTAAGTGATGACGTTAGTTGAGGGATTTGGAGATGAGGTGACACTACTGTTGACCACAACAGTGGTAGTGTTGGTCATATACTTTGTCTGGCTGTCTACACATGTACCTGACAGACCTTTGTTGTATCTGCAGTTGAGCACAGGGGGAGGTGGCAGTCAGCCGTTTAACAATGCTGATATACAGGTAATTAAAAGAATAGACTAATTAATAAAACGGTATAATAATTAATATAGAGCTAAACGCAATCTTAATAGACTATTTATTTGTAAATGGTGGGTGCTTGCCGTTCACGAGTTTAACGAAGTTGCTATTCCAACCTTCAACAGCATTGTTGGTTCTGGGTCGCCGGGTTATCACACGTTGATGACAACTCCAGCTGTCAAAGTAAAATCTGGGGTTTTGACGAGTTCCATTTGCCGCCGAGAGTCGACCAACGAAATTGTCCTCAAAGTAATTGAAAATTGCGTGGGCTGTCTCAGGGCATGTCTTCTGAGGTTTCAAAAGCAGTAGTAACATAGCTTACTGGCAGGAAAGAGATACTCAGCAGCATTCGGACATGATCGCGGAATTCTACATCTAGTTTGTAATTGTTTGTATTCCCAGCAGACTGAATGTGACGCCAGACGCTTTAGCTCAAATGGAAATATCAGTATTGAATTTGTACATTTTTGGATATTGAATTTAACGCATTTTTGACCGCTATTTCGAAATAAATGGTGGCTCGTTTGGGAAGTTCAATGTCGAAGCCGCTCAAAAGGTGAATATAGGTTTTTCTTACTTGTCTGGAAGCAATGCATACACAATACGAATCAGAATGCCCTCGGCTGATGCCTGGATGGTGTATATCTGAAAGAACATATTAGGGGCTGTAGAAAAGGTGCCATCGCAGAAACAATCATCAGCGCCACTGAGAAGGTCGAGTCCTGGAAGAGTGTTGAAAACCATTGTTCGATTAGTATCATTAGGTCCAGAGTCAAGATGAAGGAAACACTGGCCACTGTGTGTCACTTTTAGCAATTCTGGCAGTTCAAAATCAGTTAAGGATTGGGCTTCCTGCATTCTGGGCGTTTTTTTTGTTTTGCTCTGTTAACCGTCCTCTGGTTAGCCGCAAAGCCTGAGATTGCTGCTGCAGTCTCTCTGTTGATGTCTCCTTGGGCGGAAAGAATTGTTTGATGTGGTGGCTCATCTGCAACAACTGCTCTTGTTTTGAGAGCTGTCCTGATTTTTCGTTTTTCATTATCGTCTGGATCGGGAAAATGACTGTGATCATTTATGATAGTGACCTTCTCTTGGAAAGTGCACACACGGCCATTGCATTTAGATAAAGATCATCGCCACGAGGTTGAAGTATGCGTATGCATCCTAAACTAGCATTTCATTGTGTTTATTTGTCACAAGAATTTCCATTGTCAACACGAACTCGAGAGCAATAACAATGACAGCATGATCTCTCGTGTCTACGTTTGGCAACATTATCAATCGAGCGATAATTGTGTAGTTATGTGTAAATGGTTTGAGTCCTGTGTTAGTTCCTGTCTCTAATATGCTGCTTAGAGTAATTTCTGGTCTAATTGCTCAGTTGCGTGGTCTTGTTGATTTTATCCTTCCTATTGAGAGGTTATCAAAATAATTGACTAGTGTGGCAAAAACCCGGGCAATTTTTGGACAATTTTGTCTGGGAACCAAATGTCTTGGAAACTTTTGCATTTTGGACTGTTTTTGCCAGGACTTAAATGTCTGGGACACAAATTTCCTAACACGAAGTCAACTAGGCTGTGAACTGATGTCGCCTGCTCGCGCAACTAACAGAAATCAAAAACTTAATATGAATGTTAATTTTGAGTTGAGAAATGAAATATAAAATGTGAAAACTTTGAGTGATGTTTCTTGGTTCGTTCAGGGACTGGGAAGGTTCCCCTTTACTCCGGAAACGGAAGATCTACTGGCTAACACTAACTCCAACTTGACGCCAGACGAGGCAGCAGACATTGCAGCTGGAACAGTAGCAGATACTGTGGAAGGCCAGACACAAACAACAGGCTCACTGCAGGAGGAGGCAACCCAGACCACCACTACTGAGAACACTCATGCTCAGCAGGCCAGGTCATTCGTCAATGTTGCAGTGTAAGTTATACACTACAATGCATTCATGTATTGGTAATAAGACTCGGTAATTACCGTCCAAACAGTTTTGTTCAAAGTTGAAGCGTATTTAAACAGCATGGTCTTTTCAAATCTCCTTTATTGAACCGCGTGGAACGATTGTTTAGCAGACCAATATTTTAGTATAAAATGTCAAAAATGAGTCTTTTAGCAGACCAACGAATAAACTGATGCATGGTTGATTGACTGACTCAAAAAGACGCCCAGTATTGGATCAAGCTTCTCCAGTTAAGACAATTATTTCAGGATTTGTCAACAAAACTATCAACTTCAAAAACACTGCAGTCTAAATTAGCGGCAAAGCAATGATCTACGCGCACAAAAACACTCATCTTGAGTGCAAGCCGCGGAGCAAGCGGTCGCTAATCCCCATGCCGCGTTTGAAGTTAGCTCTCTGACTTAATCATTGATCTGGGTCTGCTAAAAGATTGGTCTGCTAAAAAACCGATCTGCGCATTCTTGTTTATGTTTATGAAAGTTTTTCGATAAGGAACAAAAGTTGAAAAATCAATAGAATTATCTGATCTGTCTTTCAATTCGTTTTAGTTCTTCAATTCGATCTGTAGCAGCACAAATTCCACAAACATTCACATCTTTACGACAACGAAGAAACAGAAGTCGTAATGAAACCGCTCATGAAAGTTCAAACGCAACAGAATCGGAACCAAATGCAGCATCCGCCGGTGATGTTCCTACGAGTAATGAATCAAACGAATCAACAGGAACTGCAACATCGGCAAACCAGTTCTCAGTTTCTTGTTTGTGTCTAGAGTTGCCGCCTGAACTAATTGATCAAAGGAGTTCGTGTTATTTTATTAAACTGAAATTTCTGAATGACCTTCAGGCGGAAGTTGAGGTTGCACCCTCCGAAAAAGTGTCAGAGTTCAAATCGAGAGTGTTCAGAAGCGTGCTCTCGGAAGGAGGGCAAGTTAGGTTGATTTTTGCAGGAGGTCTTCTAAGGGACGAAACTTTTTGCCTGGCAGATTGTGGGATATTTTCTCACTCTGTGGTACATTGTCAAGTTTTGACTAACAGAGGCCACGTTAACAGTGTTTCAGGAACATCCAATGGAAGCTCTAATTTTGCTAGTGATTCAATGAATTCGGAAAATATTGATCTGAGTAATTTATTATTTCTGTTATTCGCGGTGTTTCTTTTAGTGCTGTGGTACCTCCGCTTTTCTTATAGACATTTATTCACACCGCCAACGACGTTTACTCTGATTGCCATAACATTATTATTTCTTTTAGCAGTTTATGCCTCGTTTATTTTGTAAAGAATTCTCTTTATGATCAATGAAATTTGCGCCATTTTGCAAAAAAAAATTAGCAAAATGCACATTGTAAATTTTGGCTACATAAATCAATTAACTACAGATTGTTATTGAACAGTTTTTCTTAGTTTTGATAGAGAGTGTTTTTTTCTTGGAAAAACAGCTGTTAGAGTGCTTGCTTGTCGGCAAGCGGCAATTCGTACCAAACACCAATTTGTAACACTAGCAGCGAAACACTGATTTGCGCGCAGTATTCCTCTCGCGCCGCATGTACCGATTTGTAGCTTGTTACGAATTGTTGTTCTACCGTTGCTTGTATGAGTTTTCCGTCATTCGAAGAAAAAATGTGTCATTGCTGCGACCACTCTCGGGTGTTTGGCCTGATTTTGTGTGCCTCAAAGAAAGCTTGTATGAGGTCAATAGTGGTGACATATTTCAATGGCAATTCTGAAAAGATATCGAGGAAAAATATTTAGTCAAGAAAAACTGGTCTGAATATTTATTCAGACCAATTTATCAATAGAAGAAGTCATTCCTGGCGGAAGATTCCCAATATAATGTGCTCGTGTTTACACTAGACTTGTTCCCGTAAACAGTTTTTGTCAGCAAATTTGTAAGAATTTGAACTTGCTTTATTACCGAACCTTTAGAACTTGCAGTATCCTTCCCCCTTAGTCTACAGGCAATGCGGTTAGTTTGTATTCACAAGGTCTGGGGTTCTGGTCCCGGCTGGACCTTGTTATTTTTCAGTATCTATAATTTCAGCATTGTCGGCTTATTGCTTATCTGCTCATGTTTTGTCGACTCAGTTGTCACATCACCGATGTTTCTTGTGAGCAATTTTCCCTGTTATTGCAAATATTGTTGGTTTTCTCCTGTAATTTAAAATTTACTAATCTTGGCCTTGCTTATTTTCTTTTTTTTTGTTTTGTTTTCTGCAAGTTTCATTCGGCCAAATTGGTTTTGGCTTATTTACGCTTGCGAAGCAAATTTATTAGTACGAACCTTTTTTTTTCCAACCTAAGTCGCAAATATTGAGACGGCACTTTTATGGTGAGGCACCCCATTAATGGTTTGGGCACCTTTATAGCTTTATGATAGCATGTGCTTTGACATTCGAATAGTAATAAGTTGACACATTTGATGCATTTTAAGTTCATAAAATGAGCCGAAAGAAGCTATTTGTTTCAAACAACTTGACTCTAATTAAAACTCAATTTCAGAAATTTTCTAACTCAATATATCTAGCAATTTTTTAAAATGCATATTTTATACATAATGTGGCTTTATACTGTCCGGTTTGTTACATGCAAAGTTAGTGTGGATGCCTTCAGTTTGTTGTTCCGACTTTCGTAACGAAAGTAACGGAACATTTGTGCTCGGGTGGTTTTTTTCTCAGATCTTTTTAACTAGCTAATTTTGTTGGATCATTCAAAAAGTATTGTTGTGCTGAGCTTAAATTTGGAAAGATATTTCACCTGATATCTTTTTTTTGTAAAAGTATGAGGGTTTAAAGATTGCCATTTCGGCAAATTTGGTTCAATTAACGCGCGATATATTTTGCGCTACTAACGCGTAAGCGTAGATTAATCAGTCTTAGTTATCGTTCCAAATTGGTTGAAGCGGGCTATTTGCCGTAATTGATTTGTTACTAGGAGCGAAATCTATCACTTTGTACTTAATATGGCGTGTCGAGGATGGTTTTCACAAAAAATCTTAAATTAAAAAAAATTTCATGTTTTTACAATGATCTTTTTATGTTATTACTGCTCCACAAACCTCAAAAGTCAGTCGGAACATTCAGGGTTTCGCCTTGATACGAGCAGTCTTGTTATATTTAAATTTTTACTTGCAACTTGTGTCGATTTGTGTTTGGTGCTACTTTTGCTACATCGAAATGGCAATTTATTAGCATATGTAGCTGCTTTATTCGTGACTAGTGTTTGTAGCTTTGCCTCTGTGTTTATATTGGCTTAGTACTTTTATTTTGAGTCTTTTGAAGGGAAAACTGGGCATTTTTCATTTAAGTAAGGTCGGATGTGGTGCAAGAGCTCAAAGTTTTAAAACTTATTCGCTCAAAATGTTTATGACGACAATTTCTTCTTACGGCTTCTATTTGTTTTCGGCGCAACGGTTGTCTACCTATTTTTTTCGTCTTGAAGGCCGCTCTTTAAATCTCAAGACCGTATTTAATGCTGGTATTTGTGTTTCTTGACTGTTTTTCTGAAATTGAATTTTTATTTTTCCAAGAAAATATTGTATTCAATATTTTTTTGCGATTTAGTTGTTTTCGCCTGTGTGTCAAACGTTGTTTCAGCTCTTGGCTGAGAGGAGAAGCTGAAGCCTAATTTGACATGCTTACTCATGGAAGCAAAAGGCAATCCAAATTGGTTTGGGCTCCAGACACGTTCGAACTCAATTGGCCACTCTTATCTTTTGTTGCGTTTTTCAACACCAGCGTATTTTAGTAGAGTTCTGTATTGTAATTTTGCTGCTGAGTGACGATTGATTTGTTTTCAGGCAGTTAGCTATGTCCATGAATGATATAATGAATAACCTTATCTCCTTTGGACAATATCTGTTCGGGTTGGCCGAGGACCGGAGTCTTATTAATGTAAGTTTGAACCTAATTAAAAGCAAAGGGTAAGAGTTGGTTAGAACTGTTAACCGCTGCAAAATACTCGAAAAATTAACGAGATGCAGAAAATTTCTGAAAGGGTATGAAGTGCAGAAACATTTTGGAACACTTGATTTCTCCTTCAGGAAAAAGATCAATGTCCAAAGTGTTTCAAGTCGAATTCGTTGGCATTATATGTAATGCTTGAAAGCTTTTCGGGCGAGTTTATTCTTTTTTATTGCTTAGGGATGATGAAAACTGATTTTGATTGTTGCGCAATATCATTCCAGATTATAAATTCTAGTTGTGGTATACTTTCACATTTCAATGTTGGTGTCTGTTTTAACGAATTATTGTTTTCCAACGGAGAAATATTAAATTAGATTTAACATACGAATCGAATGTTAAGTCATCTATGACTCAGATATGAAAATTGATTGAAGGTTGCAATGAACTTTGGATAATTTATTTTAATTATTGTTTTTTTTAGGCTAACGATCCGGATGAAGCTCTGGTGCATCAGATGGGAGACAGAAAAGAAGCGATTGAGGCGATAAAGAGACTGTGGCTGGAGGAGACTCGGGCCATAACCATAGACGCCCTGTGCACGGTGGCAAGCAACATCCACCAGAGCACCGAACAGTTCCTGGTGCAGCTTAAGTGTCTGGAGGATGAGACCATGGAAGGACTGGACAGAGACAGTGGGAAAATGCTGGCGGTGAGTAACTATAATAATAATAACAACGTAAATTTACAAATCTGCCATGCCAAGTATACTGCCTAGGAGACCGCCATTAGAAATGAGGGTCCTGTTTCAAGAGTTTCAGACTACAAGTGGTTACAAATTATGAATATGTAATTTAGTTTTCAAGAGATATAATATAGTATTACAAGGTAAAATGAGCTAGTATGTAATAAGCACCTTTTTGATCGGGCGCTGAAGGTTCCTAATACCGGCTTAAAGCGCCGGCAGCTTATGTCAAATTGAAGTTGGAAAGAAGCTATTTCTGTTCTGTTCAATTCTTAACAGATTCGGATTTGTACATCGCATGACAACGGTCATCCAATGTTTTTGGTTATTATCCTGGGCTGAAAACGGTTGTCTCACCCTTGGAAGCTACCAGAGTAGTCGTCGTTGAGCTACGATCCACTGACTATTCAACTAGGAGAGACAGATCCGTGTTTAAAAAATGATTTGCTTTTGCAGTACGAGCTCATGTCCTCGAAAATCTGACCGACAGAGTTGAATCATTCTAATAATTATTATTATGTTTTGAAGCCTAAACTTATAAGCATACATTTTATGAAAATGTATGTTAACAATAAAGTTCGGCTTGGGAGAATACCAAAAAGGCATCAGCCTGTCGGGTGGCAACTCCATGAGTAAAATTTGTTCGTCTACCTTTTTAAACTATTCGCATAAACAAAAGGACCGCAAAATTTCTTCAAATATCACAAAAGAAAACTACAAGAGAAAAAAATCTGTTTGTTTTGGTGTTGTCTAACAATTAAAATAAGATAAGCAAAAATACTATAACAAGGGATGGAAATTTACCATAACATACAAAGAAAATGTTCGTTGTCACAAATATATATGTCTCTTATTTTATGAAAAAATAAGTCCAAAGTTTCATTGGTAGTTGTTAACGCTTCAAAAATAATATTTTTTATCTGACTGTCAGAACTTATTATACAAAATACGAATCCTTTTTTCGATTTTCTTTTTTGCTCTTGTAGTAAGCTTATTTCTGCTGCGAAGTTTTTTCTTGTATTGCCTGTTTTGATAGTATACGTTATCTCCTGTTCACTTATGTATTCATGAAGTTTTTTTTCCACAAGATCGTCTTATAATTTTAAGCCTGAGTTGAAAAAGCTCATATACATGTAATTCTCGAACCTAACAGAGTTTATGTTTGTCCCGAATACGTTTCAGACTTTCCCACTTTTTAATTTCAAACAAATCCTCCACACGAGTCTTTGCTGACTTTTTAAAATACGTTTTGTATATCTTGAGCAGTGTAGATGTGTTGTGACATCGAGCAAGATTTGGCTGCTTTTTAAAAAAGTTTTATCGATGTGTGTTTTGAAATTTAATTTTTCTTCACTCATTACACTTTAGTACTTATGTATTATCCTTGTTTATTACACCGAAGACTTTAGTCAAGGTGTTCTGGTATCGTGTAACGGGTTTTTTTTTTAATGTTGTCTGTTGTCAAGTGTCGACAAATAACGTCCACAGTTATCAATTATCATGTGGGCTGGACTATATCGCGCTATGTCACGTGATTGCGTATGTTTGTTTCTTTATTTGTTCATCTTTATTTATTTAATTATCTGTTCTTTTATTTATTTAATTATGTTTAGTTTGCTTATATTTATTTATAATTTATGTATGTACATATTTATTTTTGTTTATTTTTATCACGTGTTTTGTTTATTTATTTAATTATTCTTTCTTTCATTTAAATTTGCTTTTATTTCTGCGTGTGTATTTATTTAATTTATTTATTTTCATTTATTTATATTATGGGTCTGTTTGTTTGGTTATTTGTTCATATATATTTTTTCATGTCTATTTAATTATTTGTACATTTCACTTTTGCTTTTATTTATTTATTTATTTATTTATTTATGTATTTATTTATGTATTTATTTATTTATTTATGTAATGATTTATTTTTTTATTGCTTATTTATTTATCAGGTGTGTTTTGTTTATTTGTTGATATTTATTTCTATATTTATTTAATTATTCTTTCTTTCATTTAGTTTTGCTTTTATTATTTATGTATGTGTATTTATTTCATTTATTTATTTTCATTTATTCATATTATGGGTCTGTTTGTTTGGTTATTTGTTCATATATATTTTTTCATGTCTATTTAATTATTTGTACATTTCACTTTTGCTTTTATTTATTTATATATTTATTTATTTATGTATTCATTTATGTATTTATTTATTTATTTATGTATTGATTTATTTTTTCATTGCTTATTTATTTATCAGGTGTGTTTGTTTATTTGTTGATATTTATTTCTATATTTATTTAATTATTCTTTCTTTCATTTAGTTTTGCTTTTATTGTTTATGTATGTGTATTTATTTAATTCATTTACTTTCATTTATTTATATTATGGGTCTGTTTGTTTGGTTATTTGTTCATGAGATATATATTTTTTCATGTTAATTTAATTATTTGTACATTTCAGTTTTGCGTTTATTTATTTATTTATTTATTTATTTATGTATGTATGTATTTATTTATGTATTGATTTATTTTTTTATTGTTTATTTATTTATCAGGTGTGTTTTGTTTATTCGTTGATATTTATTGCTATATTTATTTAATTATTTTCTTTCATTTAGTTTTGCTTTTATTTATTATTCATGTATGTATTTATTTATTCATTTATTTATTTATGTTTATTTATTTTTGGTTTGTTCGTTCATTTGTTGGTTTGTTCGTTCATTTATTTATTTATTTAGTTAGCGTCTTTGTTGTTTGATTGTGAAATTTGATGTTTTACTTCTTAGCAGTAGTAGACGGTCGCGTGAAACTGTTCAACGAAGAACCTGTCGTTAACGTGAGTTCTTGCTAAATCAACTTTTTATATATTTTGCATATGTTTTCTGATATTCAATTCAGGCTCTTTCGATTGTCCCAACAATGGACTCCAATGGCGAATTCGAAAAGGTGAAAAAAACACTTGCCGATGATGCGGTCTCTTGTGTTACCGAAGTTGTCCAAGTTGTGTCGTGGGGCATTCAACAATCGAACCACGACACCTGCTCCTCGTGCAACATCAAAAATGTTGAAGTTATTGAACTTAGCAAGGTGTGTAATTCAGACAACGCTTTTCTATTGCATTGAAAACTATTGTATCGTTGTTGAATAAAAACTGAAATCATTTTCGGTTGCAGGGAAAAGTTCTGAAGTGCAAGAATCCGGCATGTGGACTTGTCAGTCGGGCACCAACGCCAAAAGATGTTGCACACGTTGTTATTAGTGACAAACGCCGGTTTCTGATAGAATTAAATCTTTTTCCCGCTCCATGCACAAACGAAGTAAGCCTGTCTGAGTTCTTTCTCGAGAACCCGTCCATTACGCTCGAGTTCACCCAAGGCGTTGTATCACGTTTACACACCGCCTATTAGTAGTACGCTTAAGACTGCTTTACACTTTCTGGATGTCTAGTTGTAGACAAATTTTTGTTATGTCTCTCAAATGTACTCAAATCGTTCAAATGTACCTTGTTATATTTTTGATTGACTAGCAGTAGATGAGTTCTTTGTGATAATTTTCTTTGAATCTTTTTTGAAATTTACCATTACTGCATTTTATTCATTCTCTTATAGGGTCACAGTTGACAATGCAGGTCACGTCGAAGAGTACGAGCATTTTGAACTACCTGTTTTAAGAATTTACAATCTGTTTTAATGTACGACCAATAAATTTTACACCTTAATTCTTAAAAAAAACATTTTCAATTCTTCCCTTGCCATTCTGAACAGGTGGTTACAAAGTTTTAGCTAGTCACTGTATGATTTTCTGCCAGCAGCTCAACTGGTCTGTGTATACTTGTATTAGGTACACAGTTTTTTTTCAACTGCTGTGTATACTTGTATTTGTACACTGTAGTTTCAATCAATTGATCTGTGTATACTTGTATTAGGTACACAGTAGTTTCAATCAACTGGTCTGTGTATACTTGTATTAGGTACACTGTAGTTTCAATCAACTGGTCTGTGTATACTTGTATTAGGTACACAGTTTTTCTATTTCAACTGCTGTGTATACTTGTATTAGATACACTGTAGTTTCATTCAACTGATCTGTGTATACTTGTATTAGATACACAGTTTTTCTATTTCAACTGCTGTGTATACTTGTATTAGGTACACTGTAGTTTCAATCAACTGGTCTGTGTATACTTGTATTAGGTACACAATTTCTTTAGTTTAACTAATCTGTGTATATATTTATTTTTAACTCGTGCTCTGCGATGATGACAACAACGGAAATGCATAACTGGTTACGAATTTTGGCTCACTATCTATAACTTTCATGACTGTTGATGTAACATTATCTTTACAAGACATATTTATTTGTGATATTCCCTTGTTTCAAAATGCATTTGCCAACAATATATCGTAAGAGAACAAAAGTGAGTCATTCTTCTGGAAACATCTATAATTTACAAGGGAACATTCCAACTGCGCATATGAAGGTTCATGAAGCTGTTGTTGTAATCTGATTGTTATTAATGTTTTACGAGCGTTCAATACTGACTATTGAAAAATATTCGCCATTTTTTGTTATTATAATGTTGGCAAACCATTCTGTCAAAGCCAAGTACGTGTTAAGCGCCCTTTTTTATTAATTTTTAACAAGACTGATTATTTTATAAACGCTGACAAATTTTTAATTACTGTAATATTGTTGCATTTATTTCTGAGCGAATGTTCGTTATCATAGCCCACGTCTGAGCAGAGCGATGTTATTATTTATATTGGTTTTCACAAATATATTTTTGCAATGTACTTTTATCCGTAGTTCAAATTTATTGTAATGGTTTCTATAACACAATGATGGTGATATAATTTTTTTTTCAGAAATGACGTCCACTGTTTTGTTTGGCGATTCTATGTTAAAAGGATTTAACGAATACCTTATCAGACTTTCCGATACGTCGGTTATAGTGAAATCTGGACTGAAAGTCAGTACCATCAATGACACTCATGTCGAAGAGATAAAAGCCTTGAAACCAGCTCGCGTTATTCTTGCTGTTGGTGCAAACGACATGTGTCCCCGCCAACAAGATATTGTGTTACAACCAAGCATTGCCCATACCGATGCTTCTCTCGCGAGCTTGGCAAAGGCCACACTTGCTATGTTGATTATGTCACTTGCTTCTCCTCTTCGCGATGCTGGCTTTGAAGTCCTGCTCCTTTGGTAACATTTTCATAAAATGACTAATTCAGTAATAATAATAATGTACATTGTTCATCAGGTATCGGTTTTGCTGTTTTTTTAATGAAGTTTAGAGAAAAAATAAACTACATTGTATTTTTAGTCCAATTGTTCGCAAGGACTTTTACCGTGAAATCCGCGCGTTGGATACAGCCATCAAGTCTTCAGATTGGTCATTTATTCCCGTTGGACTATTGCGCTACACACATTTATCTACCGATGGTGTTCATTTGTCGCAAATGGGCTGCCTGAATTTGGCGAAATTAATTTGTGAGAGAGTATCCTTAACTCTTTTGACATCTGCCGTGGTAAATACTTTTTGTCTATTCTATTTTTTTTCTGTTGTATTCCACTGAGCACTTAAATGTCATAATTTTATTTTTGCAGCCGTTTACTATCAGCTCATCTTCAGTGTTTGGCGTCTCTCAAATTTCCCTTGACGTTTGCAATAAATCTGTTTTGAGCATAGCTGATTCCCTCTTTGCAGAGCTTTACAAATCATACAAACAGGAATCTTGGACACATGTCAACGGGCGCTCTGTCAAGTGGATTTCAGAGGTTCCATACTCATATGGAAGCGTTCGCCACCCGCCCAACAACTCTTGGTCACCACAGTTGTTGTTGTTAAAGACCTTGTTGGAGAAAGAACTCAAAGTTTCCTTCAACAGTGTCCTCATCAACATTTATTGTTCCCTCGAAGAGGTAATATCACAAAATACCGTCATAACAATTAGATAACATAGAAAATGTACTTTGCCTATCAGTATTTTTAGGGAGTTGGATTTCACGCTGACAACGAACGTGGTATTCCTGATTATCCAACCATTGCCAGCGTATCCCTTGGAGCCACCCGACGCTTTGCAATGAAAAGAAACGGGACCACGCGCTCTGAAGTTTCTGTTTTGTTGCCACATGGTAGCGTTTTTACCATGCTCGGAGCTTGCCAGAAAGACTGGAAGCACAGCATCTTGAGAGGATCAACTGCACCCGATGGATCGTTTGAGAAATGGAATGGCGTCCGTTTAAATTTGACGTTCCGTAATCAGTTTGACGCTGAACGTTGAAGTTTTATGTCATTTTTATTACTTGCCGGTTTTTGAAGGTTGAATTTGAACTTGATTTCGTGGAATACTTAACTGATATCTTTACCTGATTGAAGTTTTGTTCATGAATACCAACATTGGTACATTTTTCAGATCTGTGTCATGTCTTTGCAAGTATTTTTTTTGTTTTTTGGATTTGTTTTTCGGATTGTTTTACTGCTACATACTGTCAATTCTGAGACTGCTTCACAATTTCTCAATATAATAAGACTAATAGCTTTTTTTCATTTTAGCTCTTTCTTGTAAGTATATGTGTAAGTACGATTTTTAGTTATTCCGGAGACCCATATGAGTCTACATGCCAATTTATACGATTGGCCGATTGAAACGACAGGAGGCGTTTTGCTACACATACAAACACAATCTTTTGTATTTTATTATAGCTATAGAAATTGATCTACAATGCGTAAGTACGACATTTAGTTCTACGATTGTTATTTCAGGTCCTTTGTCAATATTTCAGGCTCTTTGTCAATATAGCAAAATTTTGGTGTATATATGTGTTAGTAAGATTTTTAGTTCTACAACGTTTATTCAGGCTCTTTGTCGATATAGCAAAATATTGGTGTATACATGTGTTAGTACGATTTTAGCTCTAGAATTGTTATTTCAGGCTCTTCGTCAATATAGCAATATTTTAGCGTATACATGTGTTAGTACCATTTTTAGTTCTCGAACTGTTATTTTATGATCTATGTCAATATATCCAAATTTTAGTGTATACATGTTTTATTACGATTTTTAGTTCTCGAACTGTTATTTCATGATCTTTGTCAATATATCAAAATTTTATTGTATACATGTGTTAGTACCATTTTTAGTTCTCGAACTGTTATTCCATGATCTTTGTCAATATAGCAAAATTTTGGTGTATACATGTGTTAGTACGATTTTTAGCTCTAGAACTGTTATTCCATGATCTTTGTCAATATAGCAAAAATTTGACGTATACATGTGTTAGTACGATTCTTAGCTCTCGAACTGTTATTTCATGATCTTTGCCAATATAGCAAAATTTTGGTGTATACATGTGTTCGTACGATTTTTAGCTCACGAACTGTTATTTCAGGCTCTTTGTCAATATAGTAAAATTTTGGTGTATACATGTGTTAGTACGATTTTTAGTTCTAGAAGTGTTATTTTATGATCTTCGTTGATATATCAAAAATTTAACCTATATTTGTGTTAGTACGATTTTTAGTTCTAGAACTGTTATTTCAGGCTCTTTCTCGATATAGCAAAATTTTGTCGTATACATGTATTAGTACGATTTTTTGTTCTAGAACTGTTATTCTTCAATTATTAGTTATTCAAGTTGTTTGGTTTTTGCTTCAGTTTCTATGCCTCCGCTTTTCTTATAGACATTTATTCACACCGCCAACGACGTTTACTCTGATTGCCATAACATTATTATTTCTTTTAGCAGTTTATGCCTCGTTTATTTTGTAAAGAATTCTCTTTATGATCAATGAAATTTGCGCCATTTTGCAAAAAAAAATTAGCAAAATGCACATTGTAAATTTTGGCTACATAAATCAATTAACTACAGATTGTTATTGAACAGTTTTTCTTAGTTTTGATAGAGAGTGTTTTTTCTTGGAAAAACAGCTGTTAGAGTGCTTGCTTGTCGGCAAGCGGCAATTCGTACCAAACACCAATTTGTAACACTAGCAGCGAAACACTGATTTGCGCGCAGTATTCCTCTCGCGCCGCATGTACCGATTGGTAGCTTGTTACGAATTGTTGTTCTACCGTTGCTTGTATGAGTTTTCCGTCATTCGAAGAAAAAATGTGTCATTGCTGCGACCACTCTCGGGTGTTTGGCCTGATTTTGTGTGCCTCAAAGAAAGCTTGTATGAGGTCAATAGTGGTGACATATTTCAATGGCAATTCTGAAAAGATATCGAGGAAAAATATTTAGTCAAGAAAAACTGGTCTGAATATTTATTCAGACCAATTTATCAATAGAAGAAGTCATTCCTGGCGGAAGATTCCCAATATAATGTGCTCGTGTTTACACTAGACTTGTTCCCGTAAACAGTTTTTGTCAGCAAATTTGTAAGAATTTGAACTTGCTTTTTTACCGAACCTTTAGAACTTGCAGTATCCTTCCCCCTTAGTCTACAGGCAATGCGGTTAGTTTGTATTCACAAGGTCTGGGGTTCTGGTCCCGGCTGGACCTTGTTATTTTTCAGTATCTATAATTTCAGCATTGTCGGCTTATTGCTTATCTGCTCATGTTTTGTCGACTCAGTTGTCACATCACCGATGTTTCTTGTGAGCAATTTTCCCTGTTATTGCAAATATTTTTGGTTTTCTCCTGTAATTTAAAATTTACTAATCTTGGCCTTGCTTATTTTCTTTTTTTTTTGTTTTGTTTTCTGCAAGTTTCATTCGGCCAAATTGGTTTTGGCTTATTTACGCTTGCGAAGCAAACTTATTAGTACGAACCTTTTTTTTTCCAACCTAAGTCGCAAATATTGAGACGGCACTTTTATGGTGAGGCACCCCATTAATGGTTTGGGCACCTTTATAGCTTTATGATAGCATGTGCTTTGACATTCGAATAGTAATAAGTTGACACATTTGATGCATTTTAAGTTCATAAAATGAGCCGAAAGAAGCTATTTGTTTCAAACAACTTGACTCTAATTAAAACTCAATTTCAGAAATTTTCTAACTCAATATATCTAGCAATTTTTTAAAATGCATATTTTATACATAATGTGGCTTTATACTGTCCGGTTTGTTACATGCAAAGTTAGTGTGGATGCCTTCAGTTTGTTGTTCCGACTTTCGTAACGAAAGTAACGGAACATTGGTGCTCGGGTGGTTTTTTTCTCAGATCTTTTTAACTAGCTAATTTTGGTGGATCATTAAAAAAGTATTGTTGTGCTGAGCTTAAATTTGGAAAGATATTTCACCTGATATCTTTTTTTTTGTAAAAGTATGAGGGTTTAAAGATTGCCATTTCGGCCAATTTGGTACAATTAACTCGCGATATATTTTGCGCTACTAACGCGTAAGCGTAGATTAATCAGTCTTAGTTATCGTTCCAAATTGGTTGAAGCGGGCTATTTGCCGTAATTGATTTGTTACTAGGAGCGAAATCTATCACTTTGTACTTAATATGGCGTGTCGAGGATGATTTTCACAAAAAATCTTAAATTAAAAAAAATTTCATGTTTTTACAATGATCTTTTTATGTTATTACTGCTCCACAAACCTCAAAAGTCAGTCGGAACATTCAGGGTTTCGCCTTGATACGAGCAGTCTTGTTATATTTAAATTTTTACTTGCAACTTGTGTCGATTTGTGTTTGGTGCTACTTTTGCTACATCGAAATGGCAATTTATTAGCATATGTAGCTGCTTTATTCGTGACTAGTGTTTGTAGCTTTGCCTCTGTGTTTATATTGGCTTAGTACTTTTATTTTGAGTCTTTTGAAGGGAAAACTGGGCATTTTTCATTTAAGTAAGGTCGGATGTGGTGCAAGAGCTCAAAGTTTTAAAACTTATTCGCTCAAAATGTTTATGACGACAATTTCTTCTTACGGCTTCTATTTGTTTTCGGCGCAACGGTTGTCTACCTATTTTTTTCGTCTTGAAGGCCGCTCTTTAAATCTCAAGACCGTATTTAATGCTGGTATTTGTGTTTCTTGACTGTTTTTCTGAAATTGAATTTTTATTTTTCCAAGAAAATATTGTATTCAATATTTTTTTGCGATTTAGTTGTTTTCGCCTGTGTGTCAAACGTTGTTTCAGCTCTTGGCTGAGAGGAGAAGCTGAAGCCTAATTTGACATGCTTACTCATGGAAGCAAAAGGCAATCCAAATTGGTTTGGGCTCCAGACACGTTCGAACTCAATTGGCCACTCTTATCTTTTGTTGCGTTTTTCAACACCAGCGTATTTTAGTAGAGTTCTGTATTGTAATTTTGCTGCTGAGTGACGATTGATTTGTTTTCAGGCAGTTAGCTATGTCCATGAATGATATAATGAATAACCTTGGCTCCTTTGGACAATATCTGGTCGGGTTGGCCGAGGACCGGCGTCTTATTAATGTAAGTTTGAACCTAATTAAAAGCAAAGGGTAAGAGTTGGTTAGAACTGTTAACCGCTGCAAAATACTCGAAAAATTAACGAGATGCAGAAAATTTCTAAAAGGGTATGAAGTGCAGAAACATTTTGGAACACTTGATTTCTCCTTCAGGAAAAAGATCAATGTCCAAAGTGTTTCAAGTCGAATTCGTTGGCATTATATGTAATGCTTGAAAGCTTTTCGGGCGAGTTTATTCTTTTTTATTGCTTAGGGATGATGAAAACTGATTTTGATTGTTGCGCAATATCATTCCAGATTATAAATTCTAGTTGTGGTATACTTTCACATTTCAATGTTGGTGTCTGTTTTAACGAATTATTGTTTTCCAACGGAGAAATATTAAATTAGATTTAACATACGAATCGAATGTTAAGTCATCTATGACTCAGATATGAAAATTGATTGAAGGTTGCAATGAACTTTGGATAATTTATTTTAATTATTGTTTTTTTTAGGCTAACGATCCGGATGAAGCTCTGGTGCATCAGATGGGAGACAGAAAAGAAGCGATTGAGGCGATAAAGAGACTGTGGCTGGAGGAGACTCGGGCCATAACCATAGACGCCCTGTGCACGGTGGCAAGCAACATCCACCAGAGCACCGAACAGTTCCTGGTGCAGCTTAAGTGTCTGGAGGATGAGACCATGGAAGGACTGGACAGAGACAGTGGGAAAATGCTGGCGGTGAGTAACTATAATAATAATAACAACGTAAATTTACAAATCTGCCATGCCAAGTATACTGCCTAGGAGACCGCCATTAGAAATGAGGGTCCTGTTTCAAGAGTTTCAGACTACAAGTGGTTACAAATTATGAATATGTAATTTAGTTTTCAAGAGATATAATATAGTATTACAAGGTAAAATGAGCTAGTATGTAATAAGCACCTTTTTGATCGGGCGCTGAAGGTTCCTAATACCGGCTTAAAGCGCCGGCAGCTTATGTCAAATTGAAGTTGGAAAGAAGCTATTTCTGTTCTGTTCAATTCTTAACAGATTCGGATTTGTACATCGCATGACAACGGTCATCCAATGTTTTTGGTTATTATCCTGGGCTGAAAACGGTTGTCTCACCCTTGGAAGCTACCAGAGTAGTCGTCGTTGAGCTACGATCCACTGACTATTCAACTAGGAGAGACAGATCCGTGTTTAAAAAATGATTTGCTTTTGCAGTACGAGCTCATGTCCTCGAAAATCTGACCGACAGAGTTGAATCATTCTAATAATTATTATTATGTTTTGAAGCCTAAACTTATAAGCATACATTTTATGAAAATGTATGTTAACAATAAAGTTCGGCTTGGGAGAATACCAAAAAGGCATCAGCCTGTCGGGTGGCAACTCCATGAGTAAAATTTGTTCGTCTACCTTTTTAAACTATTCGCATAAACAAAAGGACCGCAAAATTTCTTCAAATATCACAAAAGAAAACTACAAGAGAAAAAAATCTGTTTGTTTTGGTGTTGTCTAACAATTAAAATAAGATAAGCAAAAATACTATAACAAGGGATGGAAATTTACCATAACATACAAAGAAAATGTTCGTTGTCACAAATATATATGTCTCTTATTTTATGAAAAAATAAGTCCAAAGTTTCATTGGTAGTTGTTAACGCTTCAAAAATAATATTTTTTATCTGACTGTCAGAATTTATTATACAAAATACGAATCCTTTTTTCGATTTTCTTTTTTGCTCTTGTAGTAAGCTTATTTCTGCTGCGAAATTTTTTCTTGTATTGCCTGTTTTGATAGTATACGTTATCTCCTGTTCACTTATGTATTCATGAAGTTTTTTTTCCACAAGATCGTCTTATAATTTTAAGCCTGAGTTGAAAAAGCTCATATACATGTAATTCTCGAACCTAACAGAGTTTATGTTTGTCCCGATTACGTTTCAGACTTTCCCACTTTTTAATTTCCAACAAATCCTCCACACGAGTCTTTGCTGACTTTTTAAAATACGTTTTGTATATCTTGAGCAGTGTAGATGTGTTGTGACATCGAGCAAGATTTGGCTGCTTTTTAAAAAAGTTTTATCGATGTGTGTTTTGAAATTTAATTTTTCTTCACTCATTACACTTTAGTACTTATGTATTATCCTTGTTTATTACACCGAAGACTTTAGTCAAGGTGTTATGGTATCGTGTAACGGGTTTTTTTTTTTAATGTTGTCTGTTGTCAAGTGTCGACAAATAACGTCCACAGTTATCAATTATCATGTGGGCTGGACTATATCGCGCTATGTCACGTGATTGCGTATGTTTGTTTCTTTATTTGTTCATCTTTATTTATTTAATTATCTGTTCTTTTATTTATTTAATTATGTTTAGTTTGCTTATATTTATTTATAATTTATGTATGTACATATTTATTTTTGTTTATTTTTATCACGTGTTTTGTTTATTTATTTAATTATTCTTTCTTTCATTTAGTTTTGCTTTTATTATTTCTGTGTGTGTATTTATTTAATTTATTTATTTTCATTTATTTATATTATGGGTCTGTTTGTTTGGTTATTTGTTCATATATATTTTTTCATGTCTATTTAATTATTTGTACATTTCACTTTTGCTTTTATTTATTTATTTATTTATTTATGTATTTATTTATGTATTTATTTTTTTATTTATCTAGGTTGTACTAGAGTCTGATATTGAAATGTGATATGGTATGACCTCGAAAGACTAACAATTTTACAACGTAAACTGTATTATAATTCGCTTTTTTCCAGTAAGATTTTGTGATAAACTGTGTCGAACGCTCTTGTAAGATCTATCAGCGTACACACGGAGCCACTCTTATCTTCTAAGTTCTCCACTTTTTCTTCACTGAGTTCTAAGATAGCATCAACTGTGCTTTTTTCAATTTCGGAATGCGTACTGACATGCTGTTGATACATCATATTTATTCAGAAAACGTCTCAATTGATGGTTAATCATTTTTTCGAAAATTTTCTCCATAATTCGTAGAATAGATATAGGTCAGTAGTTACCTTAATTTTAGAATGTGCTATTTTTCTGAATTAGTTGAACTTTTGCATTCTTAAAAATTGATGGATAAGACAACTCTACTTTGATTAAAAAGGCTACTCAGCATCTTAGATATAATGGACTTATTTTTTTAATTAGGTTGTTACTTGCTTGTAACTATCAAGGCAGATTTTTTTCTTCAGGCTTTTAATTACTTCATAAACTTCTCGGGGTGAGATGCTTCGAAAAACACTAATCCCATTCTCTATAACATTTTTAATGTTGTGTGGTGTTTTATCAGTTTAGATAGGCTTCTGATCAATTTCAATTAAAAAAAATTATTTAATTCTTCTGCAGTCGGAGTGCTGTTTTGAACTCACTGTTTTTTTCTTTTATGTAATTTCACCTATGACTTTATAAAATTTGTTCGAATTTTTATGGCTCTTTCTTTTCTGTCTTCTCTCAAAGAAAGAACTTTTTGATTTTCGACACAAGCTTTTCAACTTTTTTTTGTTGTTCGTGGAACTTATCAAGATTACAATCACTCTTTTTGTTCAATTATTTTTTCTATAATTTAATCCAGCTGTTACTCTCATTTTGAAATTTAGCTGTTTTTCAGTTTTTCTTTTTTTTTTTACTTATTGGGAGCTTAGGAATGAATATCTTACAATTAGATTGGATAGCTATTAGGAGCTATGAAATGCAACCATTCACATCTTCAGTATCTTTTTTCAACTCAAGTTTTTCAGGGGTCTGCCACAGCGCCAAATTCAACTTAGCAAAGTCTCATGGTTCTCCAAAACGTTCCAGTCAGTTAAAAATTCAAGATTTTGTTTCTTAAGCAAAGTTTTGTTTTCAGTAAGAAATGGTGCTTCAATTTCTACCGCCTCGTGGTCCGTTATTGAGTTGTGTTCGACCATGACAATCGATTTTAAATTGTTACGAAATACATCAATTGTTGACTGACTGTTTTTAGTTACTCGAGTATTTTTTTTTTAAAATAATTTTAACCCAAACAGTAGCAGGCTGTTCTCAAGATTTAGAGAGTCACTTCTCGACTTAGTCACATCAACCTTCATGTCTCAACATACAGTGTGCATATCTGCAGGCTGCATTTTCAACTCGAACAGATCAGCTTGTAATTCATCAAGAAATTTACAATTGTTCATTTGAGGTACTATATAGACAACATTTATATTTTTCTCTCCGACGTTTTCGCATAAAAAAGTCAAAGTTTGCATTTCTTCTGAAATCAGTTCTCTAATTTTATTATCTGAAATACCTTCGCCTACGTAAAAAGCAACACCTCCACCGCGTCTGTTCCTATTCACCGTTTCGATTGATTGGTAACCTGCCAATTTGAAAATACCGAACTCCATTTAATCTTTCAGCCATGTTTCAGTAAGAGCTCTAATTTGCAGCTTTTTAGTTTAAGGGATTGATGATTTTGGGCTAATGAGCGAATAGTTTGCAAAAGAATGGACGTTCAGTTGTAGGTATTACTCCTTTTTCAGGCCTTATCCTATTATTCCTTTGGCCAATATACTTACATTTTGATTTTTGATAATAATTGTTCATATTTTTCGAAGCACTTTTTTGTATTTTTAACCAGTTTTATTTTATTTTGAAGTGATTTGATCAGCAGACTGCTGAGAATTGCAATCTGGTTCAATCAATAACTTCTTACTTCAATCGGTTTTCTTTATACTTTGAAAATTCATTTAATCAGTTTTTTTTTCTAACAATAACTTCTGACTTCAATCGGTTTTCTTTATACTTCGAAATTTCATTTTATTCGTTTTTTATTCTGTTCAACCATAATTACTGAAAATTGCTGAAGGTTCTTAATCTAGTTTAGACACTTCTCGTTCAGTTTGCTGAAAATCGGAACCAGGAAAATATATTTAAATTTAGACGAGCTTAGCCACTACACTCGAAAATGCTAATTGAGAAAGTTTGATTGGGAAAAAATTGGATTATCTGCTGAAAATCGCAACTACACTCAAAAATTCGTATTGAAAAAGTTAAGCGGAAAAAAAAGAAAACTAAGAATTGAGGTACACGACTTTTAGGCTTCTATGCTTCAGTAGCGAAAGTTTTGTTTTTTTATGATTTTTCAGAATAAGATGAATAAAAAACTAGAAAAAAGAAAAAGACACTAAACTAAGAAATTACTTGCTGAGAATCGCAACTAGTCTCAACCTCAAGCGTTCTTCACGCTTATTGCATTTTTTGTTGACTAATGCGTTTTACAGATAATTGAATTGTTACAAAACTGAGATTTAGTACCGTGTTTTTAGTATGTACCTTATTTAAAACCATGTTGAACAAAAAAAATAAAGAAGAACTCGTTCGCCTCTAAGCGAATTGTTGAAATTAAATTTTGTCTATGGGAGAGAAAATATGGAAAAAATAGAACAGATAATGAGAAAAAGACAATTTTTAGAAATTTAATAGTTAATTCTAGAGCCAACGCTTTTGCTTATTCAACTTATGTAAAGATAATAGCTACATCAAGGTTATTAACTCAAAATTTTAGTTTTGAGGGACTGCTCGCACTTCCACAACTAGAATTGATAGGATTTCACATTCTTCACTTTTTCGCGTTCATTATTTTTAGTTTGGGAGAAAAACTAGCATAGTTTCTTGATTCTCTAGTCATTTTCATTTCGGATTCACCGCGTTTAGAACTTGTCGCCCTATTAGCCATGGGTTGTTTTTTGATATCATTTTTCATAGTTTTTGATTCTTCCACGTGGTCCACTTTTTTCATAACGAACTTGCCCACGGTCATTTTTGCACAAAACCGACACGCTGCAATTCCAGGAAGATGTATTGAAACCATTTTCGATTTTCTCTTGGTTTATGTTTGATTCAACAGGAAGGAGAGGCTCGTTCATGTATGTTTTCATCCCATTAATTTGTTGCTTTTTATTCAAACTTTGTTCGTAACGTGTTATTTGCTAATTTGTCCTCCAACTTGAAAAATTTCACAAGAACCGTAGGGGTCAATCCATGAGGTAGATTTTCAGTACCCGACATATTGTTGTATCCACTCAATGAGCTCTCCGTAAATTCAGTGTATCCCAAATCTTGGAAAAATACTAGCGAATCATCAAGAAATTTGTTCTTCTTTTCATAAAAATCACCCGAATTTTTTCGCAGATTAAATGGAGGATTTTTGATTAGAATGGAATCCTTACTGGTTTAACGTTCCTGTAGCCTCAACCGTTCGTTCAAATTAAAACAAATGGTTTGTATGTCGCTCACCTTTTCTGTAAGTTCACTCATACCAGATACTAAGTTGTTTGCCATCCGCAGCAACGCCTCTCTCGCAGTCTTATCCGTTATCTGATTGATGATAGCATTCATCTGCTGTGGAATATACATGATGTAAAGAAAAAGCTTTTTAATACAATAATTGAGATTAATTGAATTCAATGATTTTGTCTTTTTGTTAATTCAAACAACGTAACTCAAGTTTGTAATCGGCCTTTCCAAATTTTTTTAAAGAAAGAAACTTACTTTTGAAGGTCAAGAAAAAGAGCAACTGTTTCTCACTATGTTTCATTCTTTTTTGATCAGATAGTCAACTCATATTTTGAGAATTTCTGAAACATTTGGTTTGAAATTAATACCGCGAGTAGTTATTTTTGTTATGAAAGGTCTTCGGACTTATTTGGTTAATAGAGGATCGGCTAAAATGGGGCTAAATTTACTATCCAATTCAGCTATTCTCTATTGTTATCTCAAAATACTTGCAAGAATATGAGAAAAAGAGGCCAGTAGTACAATCAAGTGGATACTCTTATGTGAGTCTTCTTTCAGGAGTTGGAGAATATGGAGCGCATTCGCTGTCTTCGTGCCATTCGAGAAGTATCTAAGGTTAGTGAATCGTTTACATTTGTGTTCAGGGGCAGGGTTAGGGGCAGGTGGAATGAGCAAAAACTTTCAAAACAATGCCCAAAGTGCTGCACGGAAGTTTCTGGTCTAACAGGGTCTTCTGGTACTTAAATAGCTCGTAAATTAAATTGGTCGACCTAAATTTAAAAAGGTCATCCAAAATTTTGAAATTTAGAACCCAAATCTCACCGAAAAAAAACAAGTTAAAGCTTTAGTCTTAGTTTTTTGTTTGTTTTAGCCGATCACAGAAACATTGTATGGTAAGTTACCAAAGTCGTTGAATACTATTTTGAAAAGGAAAAAGAGTTTTCATCACTCACACTTTCTAACGGTTTCTAGGAGGTCAATTCTACAGGAGGCCTGGAAAGCTGAAAGTGGATAACCCTCCGAGCAGCGCTACCGTTTCCCCACAGTATTTTGCACCCAAATCAATTCAAGGTAAGTTCCAAGGATTTTCGACGCAGGGTGTCCAGATAATCTTTTTTACGGCTTTTTAACGGACTGGTACATTTTGGTTCATTATTGAAAATCTTGGATCCACCTTCTCTGTTTTTGGCCCTTGTTGGTCCGTAATTTTGCTTTTCTTTTGGTAGTGCTCAAAAATTGAACTTAATTTTTTGGACACCGTTTTATCCTCAATTTCAGACTTATCTGCGGTAACTAATAAATGATACGCAAACTTGTGAAAAGACACGAAGCTCATTTCTACGTTTGCCGTGTAAAAGTTGACATGGTATGTTTGTTTTGTCTTTCAGAAAGAAATAGCTGCCTGTAAGTTTCCATTCTCTAAAAATGTGCGTAGTTTTTGCATGATGGTGTTTAGTTTTCGTGAGTTTTGCATCTTCACTTGCATGAAGAGTAGATCTCAGATCTTTGGGTCAAATTAGCTGTAAGTTGGTGATCCAGTTCTAAATCGATATTTGGAAATTTTCGCAAAGAATTGGGCATTCGTTTTATGCATTCGAATTGGTAGTCGTTTTTTTTTGTGCAGACCTGCAGAGAATTGGGCATTCGTTTTCTATTGATGAGCCAGCTGCTTCACCCACTCAAGATTCTCACCGGCGGCTGAGCAATGGTAACACACCGCCATTACAGAACGGAAGTGTGACGGGCACCCCACCTCGTGCTATATCTCAGAATCATCAAGGCCAAATTTTGGTAGGTATTTAAAGGATCTTTTTTAAGAAATAGTGACTCAAAACTAATGATTTGATTATTCTTAACCTTAACCTCATAACTGATGCGTAGTTTTTTGTAATTTTGTTTTAAGAACGAACGCATTCATATTTTTGTATTACGCTTGCAAGCAGCTAGTGTTTTAGTACGAACCTTCTTTTTTTTCTAACCTAACTCGCAAATAAAAGTGTTCATTAAAAGTGTTCACTTGTGTGCTTTTTTGCTATAGTTACGATCTGTAGCATCGGAAGGCTCTTTTCCACTTTCCCAACCCCGCGTAAAATTACAAAACTAATCTGTTCAAAAAAATTTCACACGGCATTTTGCATGTAGTAAATGTAAAAATTTGTTCACCTGGTCACGCTGACACGTTTTAATGCAGTTTATAACAAGAAAGAATTTTTTAAATATATTTTCATAAATTGAATTTCAGAAAAAATCAAAGGGGGGACTGGAAAAAAGCCCATTGGAAATTGCATAGCATCTGTTCTTGGCTTTATTTTTGGCTAGTGTTTGTGATGGACTAAGCGTCAGTGGCTGAGTGGTTAGTGAGTGAGGCCCATTATTTCTAGGTCGTAGGCTCGCGTCCGAGACCTCGCCGTAGTTTTACTAATTCGAGGCTTATTTTAAATTTTTCTTATTGTAATTTTAACGCTAACGAGCAGCTAGTATTTCTGTACAAAACTTTTTTTCTAACCTAACTCGCAAATAAAAGTGTTCATTAGACGTTCACTTGTGTGCCTTTTTGCTATAATCACGATCTGTAGCATTGGAAATCTGTTCTCGGCATTTTTTGTGGCTAGTGTTTATGATGGACTAAGAGTCCGTGGCTGAGTGGTTAGTGCGTGAAATTATTTATTTCTAGGTCGCGGTAAGTCGTAGGCTCGAGTCCGAGTCGTCGCCGAATTTTTACTAATTCGAGGCTTATTTTTACTTTTTCTCATTGCACTTTTTAGAAATCTAGGACTGCTTTTTGGCGTGTTCTCGCAAGTGTTTGAGAAGCGCAGCATCGCCTCTGTAAAACCTATAAGAATCTCAGAGCATGTCGTTTTAATTTCATAAAAACAAATAGAAGTTTTCAACGGTATCTTAGGGCAGACTTTGTTTTATTTCGTGAACTGTTATAGAAAAATACGGGGGTGACTGCAGGTGTGTCCAATGCCAGTAAGTTTGCTGGAGACAAGAGGTACAAGATAGAGCACACGGGACGCACGGGGTCATCAATGCGCAAAGGTTAGGTACATCATTTGCAATTAAACAGCATCTGTGTAATTGCTATATTGGTGGCTAGTGTTTGACCACTGGCACGCGACCATGGCGCAATTACGATGTGAGTCTTAATATCCAGGTCGGGGTTCGACTGGTACATATAAAAACATGTATGTTTAGCATTGCAATTACATATCAGTCTCGAAAGTTAATTTTGAATTTTCATATTACCCAGCGGAAGAAAAAGGTTATCTATTGATTCAGTTTTCCGATATCAACGCTAATACAAATTCAAGAGCTTCAAGGTCATATTTTTTTCTCAGAAAATTAAAAATTATAACTGTCAGATAGTTAGTTTTTGATTTTCTATGGGTATCAAGTGGGTCTCAGTGAAAAAATTTCATTTCGCGTATATGATAAAATGCTTATCTTACAATTTCCATATATGAAAAAATGTTTATCCTACAATTTCCATATATGAAAAAATGTTTATCCTACAATTTCCATATATGAAAAAATGTTTATCCTACAATTTCCATATATGAAAAAATGTTTATCCTACAATTTCCATATATGAAAAAATGTTTATCCTACAATTTCCATATATGAAAAAATGTTTATCCTACAATTTCCATATATGAAAAAATGTTTATCCTACAATTTCCATATATGAAAAAAATTTTATCCTACAATTTCCAGAATGCTTATCCTAGAGTTTTTTTACACTTTTCTGAGTCTATGAAACTGTAGGAAATTGTAGGATAAGCATTTTTTCATATATGGAAATTGTAGGATAAGCATTTTTGGTCAACCCGGGGAAGGAAAAATTGGTAAAATAACACCTTTGTTTTTCAATTTACGTTTTGTTAAGAAATTCGTGTTTTCATTTAAAAAAAGGGCCCGAGCTCAAGTTTTGTTTCTCAACCGGGCCAGGCCTCAAATTCAGGCCCGTTTCCAACTCTGGGGGGGGGGGGGGGGTGTTGGGTTTGTAAGCAACTTTTTTGGTATTTTAACTTTGCTTTATGGCGAATTTGCTGGTGTTCTTCATTGGTGCATCTGTGTAAATCACGTAACAAATAAAACGCAAAACCCAACTTTCAAGCTTATGAAGTACTGATCCATTAGTTGATTCATTTTACCTTCTTTTGTATTTCAGCTATTAGCGGTACATCCAGCAGTAGTCTCAACAATGGTGGAGGCTCCTCGCTGACGTCAAGTTCGCCGGGACAGTCGAACCAGAGTCTTAATTCGAATCCTAATGAATGTGAGTTAAAATAAGGTGTAACCCTGTAGCAAACGGTAAATGCAAGTCATTTAAGTGCTAGTAAGCCACAAAGTCATTTATCGCCTTTTTCTCCAAATTTCAAGTAAATTTCAAGTAGGAATTGGTAGGTGAAGCAGCTTGTTAAATAAAACTCGAAGTTGAAACTAAAGAATTAACAGTAAAGAAAAACTAAAATATATTTCGGATCTACCTACATTCCATTCCTCCTTCTCAAGAAAGGTGGTTTTTAAGATAAAGTTGGTCGAAATTTCGACCAATCAGAATGCAGCAAAGTTAGAATTCAACAGAAAACGCTATGGCTAACTTGCTGTTTTCATTTAAACAGATGGATATTCTTTAGTTGATACCATACAGGTGGAAATTGTTAAGTAGATGCTATCTTTCAAGAACTTTGTTTACATTTAGCTATACCGAAACCGCCCCCGCCCCCGACACTCTCACACCCACCACCTCCAACCAATCCTGCAGCAGGGAAAAAGGGAGCACCTGCGCCCCCTCCTCCGCCCCCACCACCGCCACCCATGCCACAACAGCAGAGTAACCCCAAGCTTGGAAAGAGTGATCCGAACAGTTTGAAGCCGAAGATGGACTGGACACGACCAATAAGCGTAGGGCGTAAGTACACTGCCCTTCAATTCTAGTTGGCACATGTTTAATTCTCTAAAGAGTCCGGACTGTGTTTGGGCAATAAAACTATTTATTAATAAATTTGAGCGTAAGAAGTGTTATTTCATTACGTAGTAGTTCATAGAGTTCTTGGTGATTTTTTTCTGGAAAAGGTCTTAGAATGCTCTACTAACTACAGATATACATTCATACATATTAATAAATTTATGAATGCACTTAGGTATATGTGCACTTTTCGAGTTCAATTCCAGTTCATTTGCCTAAGGGCAGGAATTATTTGCTCTATAAATACGAGCGCGCAAAGGTCATGAAAAAATTGATCGACTTCTTGTTTCGTAAGTGGAATTTATATTTCCCGGCGGAATAAGAACTTTACCTATTGATCCACTTTTCTCAAATTGATTTGATTGTGTCTTGAAATTCAAGGAGGGTTAAGGCGCCAGATATTTTTTACTATGAAATTCGAAAGTTGAAGTTTTTTCAAAATTAAGACTGTTTTTTTTTTAACTGGATCGCGTTTTGTTATACTTCGAACAGTATTTATAATTTATTTCAAAATCCAAAATTTTGGCAAAAGAAGAGTAAAATTTTATTTTTTGACTAACATTTTTATCTGAAAGAGTACTGTATTTACAAAAACTATCTTAACAGCATGTACATTGGTTGAAAATGAAATGACTATATTATGCATTATAGTTCTCAAAATTAATACATGCACTCAAATATTACCACCTATTGTAACATATCACCTCAAAGGCCACAGCGGGGCTCGCAAAATTAATGGCAAGTCTGAAGAAAGGATTGTCAAAGTTTTTACCATTGGCGTCAAAAAATTCTGGTACAGGCCACAAAAAAACTGGAATGCTGTTAAGTATGATTTTTAGTGATATAATGCATTTCATTTCATTTGAAGGCTTTCAAGCTTATTGAGCATAATTTTCTGAAAACTAAAATATATCGCGAAAGTGGGCGGGAGCCCATTGCAAGGATAAAAAGCGTATATGCTTAACTCTTGAAATATATATTTATAGCAATGTTTATAACAGTGTGCCAGACATTTATTTGTTGGTGTTTAGCGGGAGACTATGTGCCTGATGATGCGGAGTACGATGTGACAGGGGACTCAAATGGTGCAGATGTTGTACAGGCAAAGAGTAAGTGCAATTTGTTTCATTTTCAGTTCGTGTAAATCTTGATTGTCATTAATTTCCTTCGCAAAAAGTGTTTAATTGAAACCTTCATTATTGTTTTTTTTGCAATAGCTTTTGCTATTACAGATGAATAAGTGCAACAGAACGAAGTGATTTTACTTATATAGTTCTTGATGTTTTTTTAGGATCTACCTACTGATCCAGTTTTCTCAAATGGGATAAGTTTATTTACATACGCGAGCGTAGTGTATTATTACGAAGATTTTATTTAAACGTATGTCGCAAATAAAAGTTTGGTGGCACTTTTGGTGTAATTCAATTTAATCATTTTTTTAGCTAATTTAAGCATAAACAGTTTCATGGCATATCTTGCTGCTTTTTTGGTTAGTGTTAGGTCTTGTTTGAAAAAAAGTATTTATTATGAAAATGTATGGGATTTTTTTTTAGGTCGACCAAACCAAATGGATAAACCACTATAAAGGCCCTAACTTGTCCAAATTGTCTTCGCCGCAGGCAAATTTTTGAATCGCCGCAGGCAAATTTTTGAAAAAACAGGTCAAAAAAGCCGTTTTTGGGCATTTTTGGAAAATTTTGACAAAGAAATTGCGCCTTTAAAAAATTTCTAGGGTCCGTCACCAATTATGGAGATCTCAAAGCAGTACAAAAGGGGGACCCTTGGGGTCGGCAGGGGGTCGAATCGCTGAAGAGAGGGGCGTCCGCCCCCCCCCCCCTAAATCCGCTACTGCGTTCTACGGCCTTCGTAATTTTGGCGTATTTGTTTTGATTTTGTTTTTAATTTTCTCAAATATTAAATGCGCTAGCCTTTGAGCATTTGAGAAGAAGATTTCGATCAAGAGAACAAATTATGAGGATCTACCTTTCTCGGCTCCTTTCTCTAGTTTTGGTAGAACAAAGTTATGGCGTAAATTAAGCCCATTTTTTGACATATTGGTTAATTTTTTTCTCAAAAATTACCCTGCGAAATTGGAGATTAAAGGTTTAACCTAAAGAAAAAAATCGGATAGGCGAATCTTACCTGCGCAAGCGGCTGTGCTCCGCGTTTTGAAAAAAGTATGGCCTTAGAAAATTTCCAGTTTTTGAAATTTTGCATGTTTTTTGGAAAGTAATGCTTTTTTTGAAAAACTAACCTTCTGATTCTGAGGCTGATAGTTCACGAAAACTAATATGGTGCTTAGATTTTTCCCGCTTAATCTGTTTTAACTATCTTTTGTAGAAAAGCTGATATGGACTACGAAAAACCCTTTTTAAATTTTTTTTCTTAGAAGTTTCGTCACAATTACTGACAACTTCTCGCTAAATCTGATTTTACGTGTGCAGTCTTTAGAATCGGGTCCGGAATCTTCGATCTAAAAGCCAGGGCGTGGAGAGCTGTGGCTCGTCTCATGCTTTAGTGTAGAGCAAATTTTATGGATCAAGTAAAAGTCAAATTTTTGATCGATTTTTGGAATCAAAAACTATCCAGCCAAATCTGAAATAAAGACTTCTATTGCAAGAGCAAGAAGTAGTTTTCTCTTAAGTGGTTAATCTCCTACTCAAGCAGAAAAACACGGGCTTAGCGTAAAGTCTATTTGTTTGAAATTTCGAAAATTACGCGTTTCCTTATCAGTACAAATTTTGAGGAAAAAATAAGAACAGATAGATCCACCATTAGCTGAGCCACTATTTTACTTCCAAGCGACCGTGGCGCAGATGAGAGGAAGTATGACTCCTAATCAACAGTTCGGATATTCAAATCCGAATATTCAAATAGTTTCATGGTTTTGGTCGAGTTTTTGCTGCATAAAATTGGCAATTCTAGCTGCTTTATTGGTGGATAGTGTTAGTAAAATTACAAGCGGTCGTGGAGCAGATGCTTCTTATCTTGCGAGAAACAAATTGGTGCATGTTAATGCAAAATTCAAAGCACTTAGCATAGTGGTAAGGCGTTCAGTTTGATATCGGCAGATAGTTTATTCGATCCCCTGCCATGAAAATGATAGTTTGCGAGGACGAGCTTTCTTGTGGCCTCCTCTAGCTACAGGTCTACCACTGCTTGACCAATATAGGCTGGATCAGTGGTACCACGTGAAACTTTTAGACGCTAAAAACGGCCTTGAATCACAAAAAAGAGATTTGCTCAACAAAATGTGAGGAAATTATAGAAACGGACTATGCTTAGGCATGCCTTATAAGCCTTTGATAGATCCTCTGCGAATCGCAGAAACCATTTTGTTTGTTAAAGAGTCACTGAACTCTTTTATAGGTCGCGATGATATTTATTTCAAATTTTTTTGCTGGAAAAGTCCTGAAATTTGTTCAGGCTCAAATTTATTGTTTCGCGGTTTGACTTTGATTTCTTTTGAAGTTCAGTTCTTTTCTTTTATTAAAAGAAATGCAAACTCCGCTAACGAACAGCAAAAGTGTAAAACGGTCACGGAAAACGTGATCGATTTCAGTTTCGAAAATGGAATTCAATTTTAAATTCAGATTTCCCTGCGAAAAAAATTGTTTTTACTTATTGACTCAGCGTTTTCTAATTAGGTTATTTTAATCAAAAAGTTTCGATCATAATATGTTCTAGAAGTTCAAAGAGCTGTAGGGCCATCTTTTTTTCTCTGAATTCCGAAAGTTGTGATTTTTTATTTTTGTTCTTTTGACTTACGTTCAATGACAGTTTTCCAACTGTATGTTGGCTTTGTTTATGAACCGGAAGTGATGATCAATTGTGTAATCTTCGTATCGTAGTTGCCTCAACGAGTTGCTCTTTTGTGAATTTTCTATCTGTTCAAATGTCTGTCTATTCGTCTTTTTGTCTCTCTTCTATTCCTTTGTTGTGTTGTGTGTAGTGCGAGTGCTGTATGATTATTCGGACGAGTACAACAATGTGAGTTACCAGAAGGGGGACATAGTGACCACTGCCTCCTCCGACTCTACCTGGACTGAGGCCACAGCTGACCACATTGCATGGGGCATCATTCCCACCTCCTATCTGGCACCAACTAACTCACACTAATACAATTCATACATAAATATTGGATTGTAGTAGTTTTTTAAGCGCTAATCAAACAAGTCGAATTTCTACCTCTTTACGTTGTGGTTTTTATGCTGTTAAATTTGAGATATCAAAGATAGAAAAAATCTCCTGATTTGGTTTTCTTATATTGGGCCTATTTTGTCCACAAAAAAGTGAGTCGTAAGTAATCTAAAATTCAAAAAATTAGATTAAGCTCTAAATATTTTTTTTTCTTTGAAAAGCAAAAGTTAATAAGTTTTTAAAAAAGAAATTAGTAGTTATTTTTTCTGTTTGCTAAATATTATTTTTTTCCACCTGTCTGTTAGATATGCTTCGATACTATTATATCGGATTCATCACGCTTTTTTGTTTGTTATGATGCATTCCAGGTAGCACACCTAAATGGTTGTTTACTTTGTTTCTTAACATTTTACTGACTGCTTTTGGACATAAGAGACCATAGCGTTTTTTAGGGATGAAACAAGACAGCTAGTATGATTTTTAAAGTGCTTTCTGTAATGAAACCGGAAATCAGTGATACAATGAAAACGAAAACCAGTGCATTGACTGAAATGAGTTTTGAAGCTTCTGATTTTTTAAAAGCTGGAAAACAATTTTGTGAATTAAGTTGTTCTGGTGCGTATTATTGTATATATCAAGATCTAAATTAGGTTCGCGTGTTGTTTCATAACCATTTGATTGAAGTAGCCTCAAATACTGTTCCTAAGAATAGAATAACATATATTTAATGATAAAGGGTCTAAATAATGGGCCCATGTGAACAATCTCCCCTCTGAATAGACCAAGTGAACAATCTCCCCCCCCCCATAATTAAATGACAAATTCAGCAGTAAGCCATGCATGCAATGTGCTCAATTTTGATTGGCTGAAAAATATTACATTTAACCAAGTGAACTTTCTCCCCCCTTAATTGATTTAGGGGGGAGATTGTTCAATTGGTTCAAATTATGTGTTATTGGTTTATTTTTAATATTGTTGATTGTATTTAAAATCAATATGTGCTTGTTCATATCCAAATTTTCAATTGTACTTAAATGCATTGTAATTATTAATTAGAATAATGCTTAATCATTGTAATTATTAATTAGAAAGATTTGTTGTTGTTATTAATAAAAAAACTCTTAAATTGCGTTTTTCTTCATTTTTCTCGATAGGGTGAAAGTTAAAAAAAATACCACAAAGATCAGTTTGTTCTTTTTTATCTTTGTTTAATTTACGAAGGGTGCAATGGTTAAATAATTACGAAGGGTGCAACGTTGGAGTGGAAGTTGTGGCTAATTTTAAACGAATCACGTGATAAAATTCGGTTAGGCAATTGAAGAGCTTTGTTTTTCATTAACTTAGTAGACGAAACGGACTAGAAAATCAGATCAGATATATTTGCACAAGCAAGGCTTGTGTTATCGAGGAATTCTCTTTTTCCAATCAAAGTGGAAAATTTCGGCGTTCAATTTTCTATGAAGTTTGGTGTCTAGTTGACCTCTATTCTCTTTCTTTACTAGCAATCATCGCTGGCTGATGATTACTGTTAGAATGTGTGAAAATAAGTGTAACACAAAAACATTGGAATAGTGGATGCTCAAATCCCGTAGTCTTTTAGAATTATTTTTCGATCGTTTCTTGCGGTTTTTCCATTTTTTGTTGATCTAGGAGTTCTCTTGGATGTATTTGCGAAGTGCAGCATTACCTCTGTTTTTTTTGGGGTTTTCGATTTTTTATTTTGATTTTTCACGGTTGGACTTTGATTTGATTTTAAATTCACTTCGTTTCTTTTGTTAAAAGGAAGGCAAACTTCATTATCGAACAGCAAAAGTGTAAAGGTCACTAAAAACATGATCGTCTTCTAGTTTCGAAAGTAGATTCAGATTTCCTAGCGGAACGAAACGCTTAATTTATGATCTATTTTTCTGAAATTGTGGTAAATTTATCAAAAAAAGTGTCAATCACAAGTTGTTCTTGAAGCTCAAAGAGCTTTAAGGCCATATTGTTTTTCTCTGAAACTCGAAAGTGGACGTTTTTTTTTTGGTTTCCTTGCTTTCATTCTTTTTTCTTTTTCATATGTCTGTTGGCTAAGTTCTTTTGTTAGTGGCAGCTTTATAATTAGTGAGCTAGCTCATCGAATTTTTATCAAACCATTCAGAATAAGATAATCATTTCGCTTGCGAGAGAGTACTTTAATCGAGAACAAGACTTTTTTCGCTTAAAGAGCTTTTCTTACAAATCGCTTAGAAGTACGTGCAGTCAGTTTCAGGTTGAGTTAGGCGTATTCATTTTTTTAAATACGCCTTCCAGAATTTATTTTAGGTAGTAATTATCTTTTTCAAAAATATTGAAAAAGTTATTGAATTATCTGTTGGTTTTTACAGTTTTTTCATTATTGAAAGTTTTCTTTTGCTTTTTCTTCTTCAAATCAGATATCTAAAAAAGCTCATAAATTAACGAGCATGCATTTCTTTTTATTCAATTTTGAAGCTCACTTTTAATTAATCACAGTTGTCTATGAAAACAAAATATTTGAAAAAAAAATTAGAAAAGAAAACTTACTGTTTTTTACCATAATGACAGCAGTCTGTGCTACCAGTACAAAAACCAGCTGGCGGTATTCGTTTCTCAAATTTCGAAAAGAACTACCACCCAGGGGTTTCACGCGCAAAATCAGGGACACAATTAGCGTTCGTAGAATTTGGAGCGTATATCGTACGAAGAACGATTCAGTCGTGACTTGGGTACTGAAAATTCCCTGTGTCAAGAAAAATAGGGCTACGATTTTCACCTGTTAGATAATGTTACTTTGAATTGTGCAGTTGTTTATCAAATTCAAGTGCATTAACTAAAAAAATTTTTTCAATTTAACAAGATCGTTTTAGTGATTTTTAATTACTTCGCTGTTAAATATGCGATCAGAACGTTGGAATTGTTGTTGTTGCAACCATTGAAAATGGAGAGGATCTTTGTCTTCGAGTGTTTAAGTTTTTATTTTTTTAAATGTTTTTCACGCAACAACAGGTACCACAGTTACCCATAGGTATGGGTCTAGTAATATTTCATCGTAACGCCCTCTCAGTTGTGATTTGAACATTGAAAAATTTTCAAACGATTTTCCTGTAACGAGAAAAACACGTTTGAGTTTGTCTAATTTCGAGCAATTTAAGCAGGGGAGTGGGTCCTATAAAAATAATTTTACTCCAAGAAAACTGGTTTCAGATGCTTGTTTTAGCGCTTCTTGGGCATAAAAAATTTTAAAAAAATTTTGTAGATTTTTTGTTTCTTTTTTTTTTGTGAATTTATTTTTCGTAGACTGTTTTTATTGGTTATGCCTAATTCCTTAACGGTCTGCGCTTTCGATTAGTTCTCTCACGGTAAGCACAAAAAACAAAGATTGATTGGTCCGAACATTCTGTGCAACTTAGGTAGTTAGTTTTTCTGACCATTGAAAATGGGAATGAACTTTGTATTCGGGTGTTTTAGTTTTTGTTTTCCTCGAAAAATTAGGTACTTCAAGTAATCATTGAACATTAATGCCCTTTGAGTGCTAATTTGAACGAAATTAAAAAATGAAGAAAAAAATTTTCTCTATCGAGAAAAACCTGTTTGGAATTTTTGATTTTCCGTCTAAAACCGAGCGAAAAAGGTGAGAGCAGTCTTTCAATAGCTTATTTATGCTTAATTAAAGCCGTCAAAATTTTGTTTTACTCGTGTTAAGTTCGTTTTTGGAGTTTTTAGCGCCATTTTAGGAATAAAAAATTCAAACAAATGAAAAAAAAACGAAAAAAAGTCAATTTTGCAATTTATTTGTTTGAATTTTTTATTCCTAAAATGGCGCTAAAAACGAACTTAACACGAGTAAAACTAAATTTTGAAGGCTTTAATTAAGCATAAATAAGCTATTGAAAGACTGCTTTCACCTTATTCGCTCGGTCTTAGACGGTTTTTTCGTTTTTTTTTTCAAGTAATATTTCTGCAAAAATCTGTTTTCCAATTTGCATATTCTACTATGACTGTCGAATATGCCCCAGATTTTGTTTTTGTGCAGGTTCATTTATCGCAACCCGCAGAAAAAGGACACTAAATTGAAAGAATTGTGTTTTTTAAGACTATAGTCAGAACATTCTGTGCTACTTGCACAGTAACCGGCTGTCTTTGTTTCTTTTTGTCTTTTCTTTACCACATGATCCGTTGAAGTTGCAGTAAAAGAAAACGAATATGACAGTTGGAAGCTTGCTTTTCGTTTCATTTCTGAACCAGTTATTTTGATTTTCTTGTTCTGACATATGACTTTTTTCAGATAGTTTGAGTTCCGGTCGTTGCGCGAAAACTAAAAGAGCAGAATGGTGAGTTGCATGTTTTCCGAATGTTGATATATTTTAGTTAATGTTGATATATTTAGTAACTGGAAATTATTAGTTGGCAGGTTATTACAGTTAGTGGCCCCTTTGCAATATCTCATCTGTTAATGCGATTAACATTCTTGAAATTCAAATGCCTCTGTTTTTCACTGGGTTAAATGTTCTGCGAAGTAAAATAATCCTCGTATATTTGAAGTTTTAAGGGTATTCACGCAAGTTAATTTACGTTTGAACCACGTAGTTCAAATTAATATTTTGTCGGATTTTTCTAAATTAGTTTCCGTTCTCCAAAACTGCTTTCTCCAATATTTCGTTCTACAATTTAGCTACAACACTGGTTTAAGACTAAATTTAAGACTATGTGCATCAGTCGAAATCTTTTTTTTTATGGTGATAACCGAAATGCAGCGACACAGTTGATAAATCATCGCACATGTTTTTGCTATGTTTTTTTGAAAGTTTTTGGAAACTACTAGCTCATCGTAAATATTTTGTTCTTTGTTCTTTACACCAAATTACTCTTAATATGTTCTTTTTATGGCTATGACGTGATATGCAATGGAACTTTCGTACAGTTCTGAACGTTTGTATCTAATTTTCTGTTGCAGTCGATCACGGAGTACAATGGAAGTTCCATAGTGGCCATGACGGGGGAGGGGTGTGTGGCCATTGCTTCTGATACCAGACTGGGTATCCAGTTCCAGACCATAGACACAAACTTCAAAAAGATATTCAGAATGGGACCACGTCTGTTTATTGGTACGTAAGTGAACAGTGGAATGTCACATTAGCAAGATGAAAAATAAATTAAAAAAATTTGGAGCGTAGTACATACCACAGCCTAATCGCCTTATCAATTTTGGCTGCCAAAAAAAAATATGGGTGCCAAGTGAAAGTTCTAGACAAAAAAACCACCTTGAATCACAAAAAAAGCTTCTCTCAGCAAAATAACTCAGTCAGGAATGTGGGAACTAATACAAATGGACTATCTTAGATAAGTGTTTTAAGGACTGGCTGGTCTGGCGACAGATGTGCAGACTGTGTATCAGAGACTGACCTTCAGGGCGAACTTGTTCAAACTGAGGGAGGAGAGAGAACTCTCTTTCGAAGTGCTGCTGGCCATGATCAGAAACATCCTCTACGAACGAAGGTAAGCATGTCATCCGATACAACAATCAGGTTTTTGTAGCTAGTTCAATACTGGCTGTTGTGTTCTGCCACGGATTTTCATTTAACATAGTTTCAGTTTAAAACAAACATTTGAACATTTTGGTTTTTGTTTCTGGACTTTTGTCAATTTTTTAATGAGTCGGTGGCTTTATGTATCGCAAGTGGTGCAAAGCTCAGCTTCTCCTCTGTGTTACGCGTGCGCTTAGCAAGCGTTATCAAATCAGAGCACATTTTTTTCATGGTAACAACTTGTCTAACTAAATTTTTTGGTATCTTGGTTCATAATGATTTCAAATTTCTAAGCGTCTCCATTCATTATAGTTGCTTTTTGTTTTCATTTACATCTGCAATTAGTAATTTTACTAGTCTTGACTTTGTATATTTATCTTTTTTTTTTGAATTTTTGGCCTAAATGATTTCGGCTTACTCGTCTAATTGTAGGTCGCGCGAGGAACCATTATTTTTTGCTTTCCTCCGGATTGCACAATACGTTAAAATCTCAGAGTATCATTTATAGTTCTAAGTTTTTTTACAACAATTTTATGTTTGCTTAAACGCCGTCGAATGTGTTTCGGG